TCGAGAACACGAATTACCAATTTGAATGATTCAGAAAAAGTTCGATTCGTGCTGATTAGTTTTTGGCAAAGGCAGGTCCAACCGTTTTGAAGATTAGGAGCAAAGGTTGCTAAAAATGTCAATTTAGTTTTTGAGAAAACGGAGCGGTCAAATTGAATGATTTGAAAAAGATTTTACTTACATTGACAGAATAAAGAATTGACTGAATTTTCGGGAAGGCTGGGGTTTTCGGAGATAAAGAGGAAAAAATGAAAAAAGCCATTTGGCGATAAAAAATGATCAATATACATACGCCAGATTAGATTCTCAGAAATCTAATTTATTCAAGGTTTTCAAAATATTTTAAAGCTTACAAAAATTTTCAATTACTTTACGGGAAATCCCGGCAATTTGTCTTAAGGCACGTTGCCATGCACCACTTGCTTAACCTTGAATTGCGTTTATTCATATTGCAAGCAATGCAAAAATTTAATAATATTCAATAATCTAATTTTTTTAACTTAAAAAAAATTAATCTTTCTTTAAAAAAATAATTTTCGGAATGGGAAGTTCCAGCAATTTGCCTTAAGACACGATGCCATGCACCACTAGTTCTAGTTTAATTTAATGACACAGAAAGTTGCTACATCGGGTAATTTTAAATATGGGCATTTTGAAGTAATTATTTATAATTATAGAGATAAACTAGAATTGCAATTATTACAAACGCAATTATTCTCAAAGCATGTAGTGGACTTCCTATTTTCTAAGGTGTGATAAAATTTACAAAAATATTACTTATTGCAAATATAGATTTTCTGTGTTTAAATGTCCCTTTTATACAACGTAATTACACATTTGTAGTCTTTGCAGTATATTACAAGGGGCATATATCAAAAACAGTCTCATGTAATTTTCTCTAACGGAAAAACTGAAGCACGTGCTGCATTCGTCATATTAGAGATAATTGTTTCGAATTGATTAATAGGATGAAAATATTGGAAATTTTCTATACATTTTATATTCATAAGAAAATGTTCATAATATTTTCTAAATATCGAAAAATTTAGAATGTGACTTGAAAGTTGCGCGGTGCGGGCCCATAACGTGTTGATAAAAAACAGTTAATGGTATCTTTTTCACATATCTCATATTATTTTTAGTAGAGCATTATTATATTTGGGTTTTGATTTTTGAATTATGAGAGTTTGCATAAAAATCATGAAGGAGTTTATGCCAAATAGAACTTGAGGTTTTAAAACTTAAAAATGCCAATGTAGTCTGCTATTTTAATACGCTTAATTTTTCCATACTTCTCAATCTTGTATTTATTTTTCCATACCTATTTATAATTATGAATCACTCATTTACACGGATTAAATCCTTTGTTATAAAATAACAAATGCTGGTATTTATAATTATGAATGACTCATGTTAATTATTCTAATCTTTTGTTATAAAATAACAACCACCATTGTCGAATATAAGGAATTTTAGTAATCATAATACATTGATTGAAGCAAACGCGATCAAAAACCTTCGAAGAAATTGTTATTACTCATAAATGATTCATAGCAAATAATTTTTAATCATAAAATTGCAATATATATTTTTGATATGAAAATATGAAATAAATAAATAAAAATTACAAACAATGATTGCATGGCCTGTTTAAGTTAATTTTCACACGCGATGTTTATACTATGACAGCTTTATAATAATATTTAGCAAGTTAATTAAGTGCTTATATATATATATATATATATATATATATATATTCAAATATTTTATATGGAAATATAACTAGTGGTGCATGGCATCGTGTCAACTTGCTGGAACCGTCTCTACCGAAAATTGAAATGTTTAAAAAAAACTTTGAACTTTTTTTCAAAGCACTCGCGCTACGTAGCTGTTTTAAGACGAAATATTGAAACGCGTAAGCATTTTCTTTCTTTCTTTGGCCGCGGCAGCCAAATAACTTTTTTTTTCTCGTTGGACCTCCTGCCCAAAAATTAAAATAATTCTTTATTTCGTCAATAGAAATAAAATGTTTTTTCGGACGCTCTCATTATCTCAAAAACTGAATTACGATTTTGGGCCCTTTTTGCTGTGTATCTTAGGAACGGCTGGACCTGCCTTTGTCAAAAACTAATCAGCACGTGTCCCCATCAATACGAATCGAATGTTTTTAAATAATTTAATTCGGTTGATTTGCGTTCCGAAATGGTCGACGAAAATTTGTATCCGAACACTACACACATCCACTTTTTCTAAGGTATGACAAGATGTTCAGAAACATTTGAAACGTAAAAAAATATAATTTTTTTTATTAACTTCTCGCAGGGTAAGTTATAGTAATCGCAAAAAAATCGAAATTGAAAATTTTTATATAAATTTAAGTTTCAAATCGATGTATGTGTGTGTGTGCGGATACAAATTTTTGTCGACGATTTCGGTAACACCGATGGACCGATTTGAATAACTCAAAAAACATTCGATTTGTATTGATATGCTGATTAGTTTTTGAAGATACGGGGCATAAAGTTCCAAAAACGATAGCTCCGTTTTTAGGAGAGCGGGGCGTCCGATTTTATAATTCAAAAAATATTTTACCTGTCTTGACAAAATGAAGAATTGATTAAATTTGAAGGCAAGTCTAGCGGTTTTGGAGATATAGTAAAAAAAAATGGCGGTCAAAAATGATCATTTGACATATGCACATCAAATTATTAGATATTTTATGGAGATTTTAATAATGTGTATCAATTTTGTTTACATTTCTATGGGTTCCAAAAAGAAACATTTTTTTCCAAAAGTTTTTTTTCCAAAAATCCAAAAATAAAATCTAAAATTTCTCAAAAATCTAATTTTTTCGAAGTTTAAACAAAAATTTAATCTTTTCTAAAAAAAATAATTTTTGTAACGGTAAGTTCCAGCAATTTGCCTTAAGGCACGATGCCAAACGCCACTGAGTACTTTAACTCACCCTTCGGGAAGTTCAAGAACAAAATTAAAACAATTATATTTTTTATAAATATATATTTACAATTCAGATGATATATTATAAAAATTAACAATGCCATTAAAAGTGAGTATCTTATATCTTATATTGAACATTTCCGAAGGTCAATAACAATCTTAAAAAAAAATCTTAATTCTAATATTTATATATCACACGTTTACCCATATATTATTATAATGTAATAGCATACAGAAGCATAAGGTTTCTCTCAGAATATATTTATTCAAGGCGAGAACTTTCCATCTATGCATAAATTACAAATATCATTTCATATTTATGTTGTAGACTATGGAAAGTACGTCGCCGTTTATCAACAGCCTTGTAATAGGAAAATAATATATTGTCGTTGGTTTTCGATAATATATTGATATATTTACGCTTTATTTTCTAATAATTAATTATGGAAATTTATGCGGAATAGTTCGACCTTTATGTTTGAACAATGTTTACTCATTTAAAATTCACGTGTGGGAGACGCCCAATATATCGCGGATTTTTGATAAGATTTGCCAAATCTTCCGCCAATTGTACGTGAGACTCCAACGAATATAAATAGTTTTACTAAAAATGTAAATATACTTTTTTAAAAATTGCTTCGCAAAACAAAATCACTTTTCAACACGATAACGCCACGATGATATCAGAACATTTTTTTGCATGCGTCATGGTAACCTTATCAGAAAATTTAGTTAAAAATGTATCAGGAAAACTCAATGTATCAAAGAAAACATTTTGTTGCTAAAATTGCTAGAAAAACATGATTTTTCATTTTATAAATATGTGACTGACATGACTTTATTGTAAAACTTCTTTTCTCTTTGCGTACATACCTGTCTGACTTGGCTCATGTAGAACTTTTTTGCGTCAGACACATATGACTGACAAGACATAACGTCATATTAAACAGCATAGTAAAGCATAAGTAATGATTTCGAAGCTGCGCATTAAATTTTCATAAAAAACTAAATATTGTTCAATTTTATTTCTTGAATTTCAAAGTTCTTGTTTTTATTTTGTAAATAATATGATATAGGCAGTGCATTGGTATTATTTATTTCACGTGGTATTACTGAGCAAATTGCAAGAACTCATTATCACACAAAAAAAAAATTGCGAAAAAGGGGTTTGAAAAATGATACTGATTTAAAATTGTCTTCTTAGTGTAGTTCTATCTCCTTCATTAAAGTTTTGAAAGTAAAGATGTTTAATAAATTAAATTTAAAGTAACTGAAATTTCCAGAGAAAAGGTTAATCTAATATGTAAATAGTAAAGTCGATGCTTCATTTCTTAAAATTCTGTAATAGCAATTTTAACCCTTTCCACTCGCGAATAACGAGATTTATATGTATTTTGCCGCCGGAACGGCGGCGTCTGAGTGAAAAGGGTCAATAATTTAAATGGACTTTAAATAATAGTTTTTTATAGTTATAATTTTCCTAATTGGCAAGACGATTGAAAATATATTTTATTATTTCATGCTAGATTTCTACTTATGCCTCACTACTCTGTTCAGTGTTATTTAATATTTATGAATTTTTTAGTATTTTTATAAATCGAATCGTTTATAAAAATACCAAATATTTGCCTATTAATTAATGTAAATAAATTTAAAGTAGTAAAAAATCTATTCGTTAAAAAGTTATATCTTATCATTGTCAATAATTGTTTCGCTTCTTATTCTAAATTTCAAGGAGGCAAGAATACTTTGGCCTTGGTCGAAATTTATATAATACGTTTAAGGAAAATTTTGAGTATTGTTAATACTTTATCCTATCATACTCAAATAGACTTAAATTATTAAAACTTAATCATATAATTAAATGTACAGATTGATCTATCATTATTGCTAGATATTAGGAAATCAAATCCAGAAAATGCATGTGAATCACTTTTCTACTCAACGAACTTAAACGTAAGAATTATTTGATTTTTTGCTTCATTTATAATATTTTCTTAGCATTGATAGATTCAGGTAAAAAAAGTTTGATTCTTATAATTTTATAGTATAGCACCAACACTGTGCCATGGCTTTGTGTCACCTTCTTCGTAATTGTCGATTTGTTCTGCAAGATGTTTGTTGACGTCAGTAATATCTGCTGGAACTCCTAATGAATATAATTAAATTAGAATTAATTTCAATTTAATAACATTTTCTAAAAAAAAAGGTATATCATATCAATTGGTGGCAAAAATTATCCTTATCTTAAAACCATCACATTCACTAAAGGGGCGTTTATAGTCACGTGAGTCCTTAAAGGGAGAGGGGGTGTTTGATAAAAAATTACAAAATATCACGTATGGCAAGCGAGGGTTTAGCAAGATAAATCTGAAGAAAAATCTTCAAAATTCTTTGAAAACTTAAAAAAAAATAGATTTTCAGAATATTAAATTTTTTGAATAATTTTTTTTTTTTGAAAAATTAGATTTTTTTATTATTTTGAATTTTTTAACTTCCCGTAGGGACTAAAACTAATCAGCACGTCTCCTTATCAATGCAAATCGAATGTTTTTTGAATCATCCAAATCCGCTGATCCGTGTTCCCGAAATTGTCGACGAAAATTTGTATCCGCACACATACACATGCACACACATATACCCACACATATATCATTTTTTTCTAAGGTATGCCAAAATGTTCAGACACGTTTGAAACGTAACGATATACAAAATTTTTCGATTATTTCGATATCGAAATTAAAAATTTTTCTGGTTAAAATATCACATTAAGGGGGAGAGGGATTCCAAAAATTCTTAGAAATCGCTCACGTAAAACAATGGACACCTTATAAACTAGTAATACAGTCCAAAATTATTGTTGCTACCAATGTTCCGAATAATTATTGCTTGGACTGTACTATTATTTAAGTGATAGTGATAGTTTTACAAGGATATTTTTCTTTCCTACTGAATGACGGTCTTGATTTAGACCAAAACGTATGGATTTAATAAATTTGCAATTTTTTATTACCAAGTTTTTTTTATTTGGTGTTAGGACTGATCAAAATTGTATGTATATATATATATATATATATATATATATACAGATTACCTTGAATTATTATTAATGTTTAGTACACTGGGACTAATGCACTTTTTTGTGACATATTGTGTATTATAGTTCAATATGATTTATTTTATTATTTGACATGAGACGTTAATTAATATTAGCAAAAATAAATCCATTAAACTAATGGATTTTTTATTGCGTATTACACAGTTAATGGTCATACCAAACATGTCAGTTAGTTAAAAAAAAATGTAATTGCAGTTTCAGTTACAATTGAACTATATAGTGCAAAGAGATTATTACAATCGTTTGCAATGTTTGTATAGTAATTTAAAATATAATACTTACCGACGTGTTTGTCTAAAAATCGTAGTATTAAACAATTGTTTATCCTGAGGGCCTCTATTGGCTTCAATTTAGTCATGAACCATTTTAGCCAGTATCCAACGATAAATGGTGTGTCTATTTGATTCTCATGTGTAGTATGTCTATTAAACAAACCAAATTCAACAGTATGAACATAAATGAGGTTTTAAATGTTAACTAAAATTTAAAAAGTATATATTGATAATAAATTAAAAAATATATATTGATTTAAATTGAAATCTATGAAAATCATCATTTCTTCGTCTGTACTTCGATCTTACTCTTAAGGCAAATATAAAATTCGGTATTACATTTTTATGTGAACTTGATCTCAAAATAATGATATAAGTAAACAAATGTATCATTTCCAATCTTACTTGATTGTGTACACAATTCTTTCCGCTTCTTTGCTGTTTTGCGTGAATTTTTCCATCACAGCCAGATTACTGGCTATATGAAATGTTTGCGTATTGATGAAAATCATTGGCTGGGTGACACGCTCCGGTAAGGCTTTCATATCCTTTAGTGGAAACATCCAAGCATCAAGGATAACTCCTGATCTGTAATGTGTACAAATAATGTGTTAATTTTGTGGAAATCTTTATCAATCAACCCTGAACAACGAAACTTCGAAAATCTAAAGACAGTGAAAATTCGCACCAATTGAGCAGCGGCGAAAATTAGTGCCAAAAATTTTATTTAATATTTGCCCTAGCCAGTTCAGCTGTAGAACAGTATATTAACTCTGATGAAGTGAAAGCATCTCTAATCAATATCATTATGGGCTTAAAAGAGTTACAAATAAGTTTCGAATATATTTCTGGCTTTTAATGTCCATGCTGTATTTATATCGTTTAACAAAGATGCAAACAAAACTTTATTCATATTAAAATGCAATATGTATCAACATGCATTGAAAGCATTTCTAATTTAGTTCTGTCGTCTTATGTATCATGTTGAGATTAGAAAATAAGAAAATCTTGGCAAGAATAATGTAACGGAATAGGGCTGACGTGTACGGTTGTGCCAGGGTACGGTAGTGACAGTCGTCAAAGAGAGAAAGATGAAGTATGTTTATTCGAACAAGTTTCCATTATTGCATTGAGTCATCGCTCTACATTAACATGATCTATAGACTTCATTGCTTTTAAAGAGTAAAAGTTTTCATATTCGCATTCTTCTAATAATAACAATTACTTGTTTACAGATAGATCGCTTTGTTTGCTATTTTGCTGTAAGTTGAACATTAGTGGTTATTTACCAGCAATTAGTTTTGTTTTATGTGACATAAATATGTTGTAACATGCAGTTTTTGGCCTTTTTAGTTGAAATTTAAACAGATAAGGAAAAATATAACTTAACTAATAAGACAAATTAGTAAAGAGTAAGGTAAGGAAAATCCAATATGCGAAAACAAAAGATTTCACAAATATTTCTTGTTTAGAAAATTATTTGTACATATTGTTATATTATATTCATAAGCTTTGTTTAAATGATTATGTTGTGCCGCGTTACATATTTGTGACGATAAAAGTCGTTATAAACCATTTTGGTGTTTCAACCTCTCAACCGTGCTGGGGGTGTGGATGGTTATGCCACCTGCCCTTTTCTAGTATGATTTGATTTTATGACTAAACTATCGTATTTAAGGACAATGTTCCAGAATTTCCACGTAGACAAATGCTCAAATTAATATTAATTTACTTTTCTCCCAGCTGCCTGGTAAATTAACGACCGTACCCAGTTGTTTCTGAACCTTTCGATTTCCAGTTCTACTTACTTGACTCTTTTGTCGTTAGCCAATACCAAAAGGCTGGTCGCGGCTCCAAATGATTGTCCCATTACAGCAAGTTGCGACATATCAAGAATGCCTTTAAAATCCAAAAGTTTCATATTATCTTTTTCTCGCTCCATGATATTTATTACGTTTTCTCCGTTATTTATTTTCTGCAACATATCTATGCATTGCTGTACTTCTTGGGCTCTTTGCTTTACCTGGATAATAAGAAAACGATTATTTCTCATGATTAGCGTTTATAGTAATATAATATTTTAAGACTGTGATGATGTCATTAATGTACCGATTCTACCGCATATTAGACAAATGTTATGGCAAGGCTATGTTATGAAGAACTTTCCTAATTCGTTTTAAATATAAAAGCCATGAGGTTACTGTGCAGTCAGGCGTTTTTCTCAGGTTGTCAGTTAGAAAACCTAACCAAGAAACCTCACAAATATAAAAAAAAACGATCTTATAACGTGGTCTTTCTGACACATAACATAACATTCATAACATACGAGTGACGTGCAGTTTATGTGTAAAACGCCTGAATGCACAACAAATACATGGCATTTTGACAGAATTCAGTATAATTCAGAAGCATAATATATGGAAGTTGGAGCGTAACATGGCCTTGCCACAACATTGGACTATTATGAGGCAGAATCGGTCCATAAATGAGTTTTATACTTACTTGTTGGTTTCGGATGTCGTAGTGACCACTGCCAAAACTCACGTACCTGTACGGCAGCCACGTCCGTTGACCAGTAGCACGCGCCTTGGGGTCTTCATAGTGGTACGTGGCGCAGGCGGATCGGTCTCTAATATAAATAAATATATATAGAAAGAAACTGCCAAATATCGATTTAGTAGTCCGAGTACATTAGGGAATGGTGGATGTGATTATGATGTTTGTCTGTGCCTATAAACGATAATGCTCCTTAAAATAAGATTCTAGAGCATAAATCAAATCTGGTCCAAATCTAAAGTTACGCGTTCCAAAAAGTATAGGTATATCAACTTTTGTATAAAAAAGCTGCCTTGCGGTACATCATCCTACCGTGAAGTAATCGAAGGACTTCTGAGGTCTATGCATCAAAATGATTAGGTCATAACTCCCCGTTGCAAAAGGAGCATAAAAAGACATTTATCAATATATTGCCAACATATGGTGCTTCAGTTCCATATAATGTTGTGTATAACTCTTGAAGATTATAAATTATGCAGGCATGTCACAAGTCAGTAACTGATTTTTCAGTCAATGGACAATGATATAACTGAAGACTATATCCATCGCCATAAATTAAACTGAAACTTGTTTTTTTTTATATTTCGTCCTATAAGCTATTGGTTTGATTTGACTAAATACTAAGACAGATGTCAACCCAAAGAGTTGTCCCATCTCTGTGTGATGCATTATTATTACAGTTTTTGTTATCTGCTAATATTTATTGATGAAGCAATGTCTATTTTCACTGGGAAACATATTGCTATCAATATTTCCAAGTGAAAACCGTTGTCACTACAGCTTGAAAACAGGCTGGTCCAGTGGCTAAAACTTAGCACTTGATGTTATTCTTAATATTGTAGGAAATGGAATTGATTTTCGTGCATTTGTTGATGATGCATGTGTGAAACGTTGCCTACTATTTTTTCCCGAATGAAGCGTATGAATTGTTTTTAATTATATACAGTAAACTATTTTACGCTTTAGTGAATTAATGTCAAAAACTTATCTGTGTCAAGAATATTATGATCGAACTTCGGTTTGAGCTCTATATATTAAACTTATCAATATTAGACAATATCCAAATTAATTGATTAAATCTTTGCTATTTGAGATATAAAATCTTAAATATAGTTAATAAAATTTTTAATAACGACATGATAAAGACCTCAGTTCTCAAGAGCAAATTATAGTGAGCAGACTATGAAATCCAAGCAGACGACTGGTCTTAACAGTTGTGCTAATGGTATAAAAATGCTATTCAAAATTGAAATTGTGGGCTTTTGCTTTTTCTATCAATTGTGTTATATTATTATATCAAGAATGCAGATTGAATTAAGTGAGATATTTTTAAGACACTATGGGGTTAATTTTTCTGTAAACTAGAAATGTTAGGGCAATGCTATGTTATGATCCTATCTTCGTATGAATTGATAGTGAAAATTGTAAAAAGCTATGTGTTTATATTAAAGATTATTCATATTTAATATGAACGTTTTATACATTCAGTTAAATCATGTTGATTTGAAGATTTAAATGATTTTTTTGATTATGCAATGAATGAACATTTAACATCTCCTTCACACATCAAGTTGTAAATTATTTTAAAAAATAGGGCGCAACTCTAACAGTTGTTTTGTCAGAACCAAATATGATTTAACTCAATTACTCAAGATATTGCATTGTTACTGCAAAAATAAGCCTTACTGTTTCTGTATTGAAGCACATCCTTTTCAGAAAATTCAAGATATAGTGTAGAGCAATAGAATCAGATAGATTTAAAATAATGCAATTTATTGATTGATTGATGATAGTAAATGATTACTGATATTCGCAACTCCACGGAATTCTATGTATAATTATGTACTCTTTTGGAAGACTGACGATTTAACTATTAGATTCCGAACTAAATACATAAGCTCACAGTTTTTTAAATTTTTTTTTTACTTTTTCTAGGTGATTTACCGATGTTCTACAGCCGCCACGATGTATCCCCTGGAAGCCATGTCATTGCAGACGGTACTGTAGAAAAACCGGGATCCTCCAAGACCATGTGAAAAGACTAGAACTTTGAGTTTTTCGCCACAAGATTTTGAGATAGGAACACCATAAAGAGTTCGCACATATGTCAGACCTGCGAGAAAATCAGGTAAGTGATAGTTTAATAAATTCTTTAAGTAAAATGTAACAGTCTTAAAATAGAAGACATTTCATTGTAGGAGATATAGACTAATAATAACTTGAATAATTAAACTATTAAAATATAATATTAATATTAATACAATATAATATAAAATTTAAATATAATCAGCATCGAACAGTGATCAGTTTTGTGTGAAAATGGGCGAAATTAATGTCAATAACGATGAAATTTAACACAAAAATGACGGAGGTTTGTTGTATACCTATTTCGCCTGATTGAGAGTCAATTTGGGTTATGGTTTAGGGAGATATAGAAATTACTTTTTCTTTTTGTATACCTTCCATTGTACCATGAAAAAACAAAAAATATTAAAAAAAATACTTGAAATTGTTATGTATTCACATAAAAAGTGCAATTTAGTCAAATTGGCTCACTCCGTCATTCTAGTGTTGAAAAAGTTTAAAAACTATTCTATCAGTCAGGAGTATTATTGATTAGATATGGTAAAAGTCTGTCGTGAGATTAATATGGTTATTAAGGGGCCGATTCTACCATGAAATAGACGAATGTTACGTAGGGGCTATGTTACGTAGTGCTTCTCATACAAAATGGTACTAAATACTGTCAAAATGCAATATAGTTGCTGTGCAGTCAGGCGTTCTAGATAGAAAACCTAACCTAGAAAACGCACATAATGTCTAAAAAACGATGTTATCAAAACGCCTGATCGTACAGCAAATACATAGCATTTTGACAGTATTTAATACCATTTTATATGAGGAGAGCTACGTAACATTAGTCTATTTTATGGCAGATTTGTCCCCTAAATGTATAATATATTATTATAAAAGATATTAAGGGACCGATTCTGCCGCCTAACAAGCAAATGTTATGAAAGGCTATGTTACGCTTCAATTTCCATACATTATGCTACTGAATCATACTGAATACTGTCAAAATGTTGTGTATTTGCTGTGCATTCAGGCGTTTTACACATACTGTAACATCACTCATATGTTATGAACCTGAGTCAGAAAGACCCTGTTATTATGTTGTTTTCTATCTGACATCGTGTGAAAATCGCCTGATTGCACAGCAACCACAATGTTTTTGTCAATATTTAGAACAAATTTGTATGGAAAGTTCTTCATAACGTAGCCTTGCCATAACATTGATCTGTTATGCGGCAGAATCGGTCCATAAATTAAGATATCTTTGGGCCCTTTTTTAGATACTAAATATTTTAATCATGAGCTTTTGCTTTTTATTATTATTATTACGCATATTATTAGATATGTGTGAAAGTCTGTCGTGAGATTAATATAATTATCAAATGTTTATTTAAAAGGCATAAGTAACGCACATTGAATTAAAATTTTGTAGGATATTTTTAAGGCACTTTTTTCTGTAAACTAGAATTGTTAGTGCAATGCTATGTTATGGTTCTATCTTCGTATGAATTGGTAGTGAAAATTGTAAAAAGCTATGGGTTTATATTATAGATTATTTATCTTTATTATGAACGTTTTATACATAAAACCTAACTTCACGTATGTGTTATCAAGGACACATCAGAACGAGACACTTATGATAAAATTGTTATTTGACGTTTGGTCGTTTTGTAGGTTAGATTTTATATGTGAAACGCCTGATCGCACAACAAATACATAAATTTTTGATAGTTTTCACTACCAATTTATACGAAGATAGGACCGTACCATAGCGGTCTATTAACATTTTTATTTCATCGGAGAATCGGCCCATATATTTTAATCATCTGCTTCTGTGGTTTCTATCAATTAGGAGCGTAATTTCTGGTGTCTATGAAGGTCTAAGGTGAGGAAATATAATTATTAAATATTTGTATAAAAGGTATTAACCTTTAACGAACGAGCGCATTACCTAAAATTATGCCCAGTAGGTCGACGGATTTTTAAGAAATTATGGGTATAATTTCTAAAGCGAGAGAATTTGCATAAATAATATCGCTTTATTGGATTCGAACGGATTGAAATTTGTCTTGAATTTGCTTGTTGACCAATATTTAAATTTAGTTTCAAACTGCATTGTGCTCAAATTAAAAATCACAGAAAGAAGAGTCCAAAATTCTTCTTGCTATGGCGACACTTTTTCATTAAGTGTTAAATTCGTATTGAATTAAAGTTTTCGTGTTTTTCACAATATATTATTTAAGTGAAAACAGGGCAACCAGCAACCAAACAATTTTAAAATATAACTAAAATTCCCAAAAATAGGCATTATATTTATCAACGATCGTGATACTTCTTAACGACATTCAATTCAATTCATGTCTTTTAACCCAGAACTATTTAGTTTCCAATTATCTATGAAAATGAGTATATATTAAATGCTTTAGTCATAAACGATCATCCCGCACGTGTCATTTTAAATTTTATCAATGGTCGATCAGATACATGCGGAATATATGTTCATCTTGAAAAAAAAAACTCATAATGTTTACTACTGATAAATAAACGGAGTTTAATTAAAATAATATTTTCTATATGCACATCACAAACACAAATACAGACTAGATTTGCATTATCGCGTGCCAATTCTACAACCGCTCTCGTCATGATATTGAAATATATTCTTTCTTCTAGTTTATAATTGCGATAACCACTCTTGAGCGATTATGGTAATAACGGAAATATTACAACCTTAACCTAAATTTAATGATGAAAATGTTCTGTAAAGATTGCATATTTCCTACCTGATTTTAACCAAATCCATAATTTGAATATGTAACTCCACAATAAGATAACTCTTGCGAATCCATCGATGTATTGGATGTCCGGACACCAAGCCATCCATTTGGTTTTAGGATTCTGTGAAGTAGAAAAAAATAAATTTAAAATACAGCTGGTTTGAGTTTTAGTACTAAAAATATTACGAAAAATACTTTATTTTACATCGGAATAATTGCGAGCAAGTTGTTGTTTTTAAAAAATAAAATTATAGAGCTGTAACTGATATGAGCTTGAAAGCATTTCTGGTGTTTCAATTTTGTAAAGAATATTTTAATATTAATTTAATATTGATCGATTTTTAAGGATTTTCGGACACCTTCTCCACACTTTGTGATACTTGCTAATATTTAAAATTAACCTCCCCTCCCCTCCCCAATATGTTTAGTACCTAGAAAAAATGATTTTTTTAAATTTTTTTTTAATGCAGGTAAAAAAAATACACGTGTTCTTACTAGACCCCACCTTCCGCGTGATATTTTGTGATTTTTCGTCAAAACCCTACCCATCCTCTTAAGCCTCAAGTGATTAATGAATACACCCTAAATCTAAATACTAAAAAAATCTAAATACCAAAATTGATAGTTTCATAAAACACAAATTATTAAATAATATGTGTATTATATATACATATAAATATTATTCATAAAAAATAAGAAAATCCTGAAATATTTAAACAATATTTAATAAATCTATATATTTCATAATTTATAAATAGATTTCAGGGACATAGTATAAGAAACGGTATAGAATATATAAAATCTGTTCAAATAAATAAAAACTAGTTTTCTGCAATTTAAGAAAAATAAATCGAATGGAATATTTACTATTTATACAGAACCCTCAGTGCACGTGCCACATGTTCACTTTGTATTTTTCGGTATTTTTGAAGGTTAAACGCGACAATTCTTTATGTAAATTTAGCTTATTCTAATTTGTTGATGATTTTTATCGATATCTCAAACATACATGAATATAATACGTTATAAACATATACACACAATCATAAGCTAAGATTTTTCAGATACTTTTATTACGGATTATATAATTATCTCTATTATATTTTAATCTTATATAAAAAGCAATCAGAACCTTAATGTTCTATGAATTGTTGGGCTGAAACTCCTTACGTCGCATTTTTAGGTGGTCCCTCAGCGGTTGATCCATCCATATTTGATGATTTTATTATTAGAATTTGTCTAATAGGGCTGACTCATTATTCAATTTGATGCAAAAAATGCCCAGGAAGGGCATTTTTACTTGGAAACAAATTTAAGATCTATATTCTCAAGTGAAAATTGATATTAGCACTGCTCGATATCGGGGTTGTTGTTGACGCGAATTGAACCCACGAATTCGATTTTTGATTTATTAGAAAACTATCCGGAAAAAAAAAACAAGTAAAACTTCAGGACTGAAAATAAAGACTTTGACAGTGAATATTTGTCCGACTTTTCTACTGATAGAAGATTAATGTAAAATGAAATTATTAATGTGGTCATGGTATTATTCTGGCGAAACTTTTGGCAAGTGAGTTTGGGTGATCCTCGAGGCTAGACTTTTACTCTTTCTGAAAGAGTTAGCATTTCATTAGTACTGTGCTGATGGAACTTTTATTCATCAACCAATTTGGAACATATTTTCGGAATTTCAACATTTCTTTTGACATATTTGCATTTCCAAAACGTTTGATTTGTATGTGATTCCCAGTCCCACAGTTGTATGCCGTATGTCCAAATTGAGTTAATAATGATTAAAATTAGTGGTGTATGGAATCCTGTCTTAAGGCAAATTGCTGAAACTTCCCCAACCAAAAATTAAGTATTTCAAAAAAGATTTTTTTTAAACATTAAAAAATTATCATTTTTGAAAAAAGACGTTTTAAAAAAATATTCTTTTTTATATTTTGTAAATTTTGAACTTTTTTTAAAGCAACCGCGCTGGTTTAGCTGCATAGAGACGAAGAAATATCGAAGCGCGTAAGCGCCGCGTCGCAACCTACCGGACATACGATGTTATGGAATCCATAGAAATGTGAACAAAATTTATACGTATTATTATAATTTGCATAAAAGTTCTGATAATTTGATGTGCATATGTCTAATGATCATTTTTGACCGCCAAATGGCATTTTTTTTAAATTTTTGTACTAGATCTCCGAAACCGCTAGACCTGCTTTCCCAAAAATCAGTTTTTCATCTTGTTAATACAAGTAAAATGATTTTTTGAATTAATAAACCGGACGTTCAATTCTCTTAAAAACTAGTTACCGAGACCCTAGTTACCGTTTTTGGCACTTTTTGCTCCGTATCCTCGAAATGGCTAGACCTGCCTTTGTCAAAAAACTTATCAGAAGGGCTTCTTATCAATAGAAATCAAATGTTTTTTGAAATATTGAAATCGGTTCAACCGTGTTTCCAAAATCGTCGACGAAAATTTGTATTCGAACACACACACACACATCCATTTTTGCTAAGGTATGCCAAAATGTTCAGACACCTCTGAAACGTGAAGATATATAAAAATTCTCATTATCGATTTTTTTTTGCGATTTCTATAACTTAGCCTACGGGAAGTTAATAAATAAATCATTAAAATTTGAAAAATCGAGTTTTTTTTATTGATGTAATGCAGTAGACTATGTTAATAAATATGACAACATCACTCACAAGTGTGTGAATTCCTACATTTTTTGATTAAAATGAATTACTATAGCGGGTTAGCACGGGTTAGTTTTTTGTATGGGATAATTCTTTGCATTCTACTTGTACAAGTAAAAGATTGTAGACTTGTAATTCAAAATCTATTCCTATTGGATTCATTTTAATCTCGATTGCTTTAAACATCCTAAAATCTTCCATAACAATAAATGCATAAAATATTTTCATTATCATCGAAGAGCGATTTGATGATCGCATTCAAGCATTAAGTTTCTATATGATCCATAATAATCTTTGATAATAGAACAAACGGTGCGTCATGAAGCGTGTGTGTTCTGACATGAAATGACAAATCGCCATGATTGTGCAAAATGCATATATATGATGAAAAACAAAATGCAACAAAATGCAAAACTATTGGAACGTGTTTATTGAGATATATATGTCAAGATGTCAGTAATTGAAAAACTCTCATGCGAGCGATATGGGGCCATGCTAGGAATTTCTTGTTTGACCTATTGTAAGGCTGCGGGCGCATGCCAAGGGTTAAACGACCGACAGAAATTGAAAAATTATGTAGTTGTATGGCCACCAGAAGTAAAGCGTTAGTATAAAATTTGATCGAGGGCCTTATAATCAAGTGAACATATTTTTAACTTTCCGTAGGGTAAGTTATTGTAATCGTCCAAAAATCGAAATTGAATTTTTTCACATTTCTTCACGTTTTGAAGGTTTCTGAACATTTCGGCATACCTCAGAAAAAAAGGATGTGTGTATGTGTATGTATGTTTTTATATAATTTTTCGTGCACGTTTTCGGGCGCACGAATCAATCGATTTGAATGGTTCAAAAAACGTTCGATTTCTATTGATAGGGAGATGTGCTGATTAGTTTTTGGCAAAGGCAGGTCCAGCCGTTTCGGAGATACGGAGCAAAGAGTGCAGAAAATAGAAATCGAGTTTTTGAGAGAACAGAGCATCCGATTTGAATGACCCAAAAAGCATTCAATTCGTAATGACAGAGAGAAGTGGTGATCAGTTTTTGGCAAAGACATGTCCAGCCGTTTCGGAGATGCCGAGCATTCGGCGTGCAAAAAATGGCAGTTTTTGAGACAAATAAGCATCCGATTTGAATGCTTCAAAAAACTTTCTGCTTTGTGGCGGACGTAGCTCAGAGGTAGCATGTCCGACTCACATGCCGGAGATCAATGGTTCGACTCCTGGCGCTTTCAAATAATTGTTAATTTGTAGAATACAAGAAAAAAAAATTGAAGTAAATAGGAAAAGAAGAAGTTTAGAATATGAGAAGAACATATTGAGAAACAAGAAGAAGAATGAAAATTGGATGGAAGATTAGGATTTAAGAAGAGATAGTATATATATGATGAATGTGTAAGAAATATATATGTAAGAATTGTATAGAATATGATGAAGAATAAAATGAATAATGTATGTGGCTAAAAATGCTGTAAAGCGGAGGCCAATAAAATTAAAAAAAAAAAAAAAAAAAAAAAACTTTCTGCTTGTGTTGACGGAACGATTGCTTTTGGATTTTTTTTAAATTTTATTCTCTTTAATTTCCAAAAAAATTTTTTTGTTGAATATCGAAAATAAATTGAATTTTAATTTTTTTTAGCTCTAGTTCTGAAGCTCACTAATATACCTAACATAAATAATTTGAACTTTGCAATTCAGTTTATATAATTCTTATAAATATTAGACATTGACCATCATTTTAAAAACGATCATAATTTTTTTACAATTCTAAAGGTCACAGGGACCTGGAAATTAAAACTGTAAATGAAATTATGAAGACCCGGAGCTGTTCTTATCACAACAAAATCGATGATCATTCGAACGCTGAAATACAAATTATCAACAAAATGGTTCAAACAAGAAGACTCAAGAAGAAATGGCCAAAGGACCTGCAATATTAAATTATATACAGACAGCTATAGAATAATTCTAGCAGAGGATCTCTTCAATGGAGGAGACCTCTAAACGCCAAATATAATTTATCACATAGGCTAATAGAAACTTTGTCTTCTGATTGTCTATTAAATAATAAATAAAAAAAAAAAAAAATCTAAAGGTATTAGCTAATTATGTAACCAAAGTCAATTGCAAATTTTGTGAAAATATTTTTTACAAAGATTTTATTGTATATAACCTTGATATGGTATTTCTGAAAAAATATTTTTCAACAGAGGTCAGATAAATAAATCAATTTAATTTGTCCTGTGAAATTGCTTTTTTAACTTAATTTACTGTTTTATTTACTATTTCTTATTGTTCACAACTTTCCCAATGTAAGGTTTTATCTGGTCTTTTTAAATCCAACTGAGAATATAAATGATTTAAAATGTTATTCACTATGCTTAAAAAACAATAGGCCATTTCATAATTTGACGAATTTTGAATAAATTAGTAGTGCTCAATTTTCCAGTTCATAGCAATCATGGATTTCTATTCGGATTACAAATGTATTCGGAATCACGATCAAATAATTTAATGGAGTCGAATTTATGCCAGGATGAACAATTCTGTATTTATCTATTATATATGTATATATATATATATATATATATATATATATATATATTTCTGACTAAAAATATACACATGCCTAAATAAATTATAAACATATTATTTCAAAACATATTATTTTAATGGCCGGTGTTACATTTGAATATTGGAATAATTGAAATTGGTCAGTTATTTATGGAAAGAATATATACTCGTATAATTCAGCATTTTTGCACCATTAATTATGTATTTGACCACAATCTGGGATAACCCAGATGCAAATCTTTCGCGTGCCTCTATTATAAACATCGTCTTATTATTAATATACACAAACAAATGTGTTTCCTACATATATATGAATTATTCAAGTTTTTATTGTTGAAGAGATAAAACGGATTGACGCAATACGATAAATGGCTTTTGTTTTGTTGCAATTAGTACGATCGCAACGAACGATTTATTGCCTATAACGTGCCTCTACAAATGCTTTATCAATACATTTTTAATATTGAGAAAGGCCAATAATGAAATTTAGCGTATTTGTAAATAATGTACAAATTGCATACTGCGTATATTACATTGTTTGAAAAGTGATTACTTTATTTTCTTCACATTCATGGGGCGATTCTGTCGTAAAATAGGCCAATGTTATGGCAAGGCTATGTTACGTTTCAGTTTTCATGCAAAATTGTACTAAATACTGTCAAAATGCCATGTATTTGCTGCGCGATCAGGCGTTTTACACATAAAATGGAACTTCACTCATATGTTATTGAACCATGTCAGAAAGATGCAGTTATGATAACATCGTTTTTTTCAACACATGGTTTTTGACAGTATTTAGTACGATTTTGTATGAAAACTGCTACATAACACAACCTTGTCATAATTGGCTTATTTTACAACAGAATCGGTCCGTAATATGTTTTATGGCGTAACGGTTAAGCGCAATGCCTCGTGTGAACGGGGTCGTAAGTTTTGCTGTGCTCGCTCTAGATGGTCTGATATCATGCGGTAGTGATATCAATTTTTACTTGAAAATATAGATTAAAAATATGTTCTTAATTAAGAATAGGTACCCATTTCGGGTACTGCGGTGTGAAATGGCAATAGGAAATGTCTCACAATATTCTTCCTTGAATCGAGCTGGAGTTTATCTTAGCTAACGGACCTACCCTAGGTCACTTTTTTACATTTTCTTATATATTACAATGTTGGGAGCTGATATAGCAAAAAAATTGTGTGAAAATGTTAAATTATTTTCTAAAATTCAGGTTTCTGTTGCTGGTCTCCGAAAAATCCAACTTTATGATTTTCTCGACGTTTAATACTATTCTGAATCGTTTGAGACCTTTACTAAAAAAATTATGTGTGCGTGTGTAATTTTTGAACTTTTGTCGACGTTTTCTCGAAAACATTTGCACCGATTCAAAAAAATAAATACCATTTTATATAAATGAGAATTTGATTAGTTTCTCGACGTTGGCCGAACCGTTTCCTTAGCAGATTAGTGCCAATTTTTTTGTCTACATTTTCAGAAAAATTACCGATTTTAAAAATTCAAAATTAATTCGACTTGGGAATAGTTTTTGCTGAAGATTGACCGGGCCATTTCTACGCAATTATTTTTTTCATGATTTTGATGAAACTTTGCCCTATAGTTTTTAATCTGAACTACCCTCTTAAAATATTATAAGCCTACTAAAAATGGTTTAATTATAAAAATTAATCAAAATTTAAAATTCTGGGTCAAAAGTTTAAAATTTTTTCATAACAATTTTAAAAGTTGCTAAATCTGAATTCTTATTTCCACTTCTACTTTTCTTGAGGGTATTTACCACTTGCAACTAGTTCAATTTGATTTTCAAATATCTAGTTCATATTTAGTACACTTTAAATATATTTTTCAAGGAATTGACCTATAATAACTGCGATTAATAAATATTTTAAGAATGTGACAAATATTTTTCATCAGCAAGTATTATAATCCACCATAAATTATATCAATTGCAATAATGTATGAAATCTTATAATATATTTTAAATCGCGAAATAAAATTTCATTATTTTCCATCAATTTAACGAAAGAAGAAACGCGAACACTTTAAATGTAAACAAATAAGATTATCTGGATTATTTTCATAACAAATCTGAACAATGAGTCAATTTTTACTATATTTATTTATATAAAAGTTCGTTGTGTCATAAACATCTCGGAAATTATCGCATCACAACGTCGATAATTAAAAACAATAATAATTATCTACACATTGTAAAGAGTTGTTTAACGTGATCATTATTATTTGTAGTAGTTTTTTTAAATCAATTGTTCAGTTTTATCCGCATTCGTGCAGGTTATTTATGGTAGGTTATATTGTAAAAAAATTGTATTTTCCCAAAATTAAGTTTGTCCAATGTTACTTATGTTCTCTACAAGGTCTTTGAAACTTGTTCCTGATTTTACGGAATAAAACCCATGGAATTAAAATGAATGATTTGTTAAAATTGGAATAATTATTTTTTTCAACCACGTGTTCTACGAGCTATGTTTGCTACCGTATACCTAGTATTTTTTTTTTCTTTTTTTTGAGAGGGCAACCCAGCGGTTAAGCACTCTTTTTTATATGTGTTAGATATATTATATTAGATGTACTATATATATGTATATCTGATAGTTTTGGCTTTTATATGTTGCCGCAATGCCCTCGGAAGACGATCTTCACTTTAAATTATTTTTTAGAACTTTAACCTCATGTGCAAATTCGATATCATACTGCCTTTTATCGAGCTGGCAGAGGTTGGAATCGAACCCGAGACTAGTGTGTGCTATTTTGCGTTCTTAACCATTACATCTAATATTTTTAGGGCAAATACACTATTGGTTTGATTCTTTTACAGTAATTGTTTGTAACTTTTAATATTACAATACGTCTATATTTAAGATTTCCGTATATTTGTTACATACAATATGTTCATTACGTCATTTATATTGTAATTCATATGCATTTGAAATTAATTAATTTTAACTAATTTTAATTTTAATTGAACGGTATTGCATTTTCTTGAATCTTGAAATCGATTTTCTTGAATCTTGAGATTGATTTAGCTGCAACCACAAATTTTACGGCGATGCTTTTCTTTTAAACTATATGAGAAGTTGACAAATATCCAATATAATTTTTATTTTAGAAAAAATGTTTTTATTTATCAAAGACATTATATATATATATATATATATATATATATATATATATGATATGTATATGTGTATAAATACTCTTTTGCCACACCAAACGTGTATTATATCAATAGTTTCGATTAGATATTGTTGTTCATAATATTTGAATCGTTTTATAGAAAAAGAAAGTTATTAACTCACCTGCAAAGCCTCTTGTTTATTAATTGCTGATGGATAATATAATCTGAAGAAACAACCATCACGAGAGTAATCCGTCATAACATCTATACAACCCGGAAGATACGGCCCTAGATATAATAAATATATTATTAAATATTTCATTTATATATATATATATATATATACATATATATATACATATATATATGTATATATATATATATATTAAATTTTTAGATTAATTGTTTCTCAAATATATAATGAATACAAACACTATAAAAATGAGGGAGACTGGGCACGGTAGTCATAACAGCTAAACTGATTTTGAGATAGGGTCTAAAGGGAGAAAGATGAAGTATGTTTAATTGAATAAGTTTCCAATATTGCATGGAGTCAGCGTCCAACATTAACATGGTATGTAGACCGCATTGCTTTTAAAAAGTCATAAGTAAGTTTTTTGTTCGATTTCTATTAATAATGACTGTTATTTGTATACAGATAGATTACTTTATTTTTACTATAAGTTGAGTATGAGTAGTTAATGACCAGGAATAAATTTTTGCGAAGATAATTTAGTTCGATCATAATAGTAGAAGAGCCAGTGAACTATTTGACTAACCTGTTTTCTCAGAGCTAGAATTTTTTTAATGATATTTTATTATCGATCCATTAAGAAAGTACCATTCTAGCAGTCATTCCGCGATTGCGTCATCATCCCCTCAAATTGTGAAAATGTCAAAAAAAAAAATTCATAACTTGCTCCTACAAGGCTCAAATTTTGAGGGTGTATTCTTTTAACTGTTCAGAAAGCATATGTAAAAAAGCCAGCCCATTCTGACGGTTGCAAAGGTCTGCCAGTCAAGTACATAATAGTCTCGACGCGCAAGGGTCTGGGCGCATTGCCATATATAATCGACTAACACCCTTGTATTTAAATAATTCATAGGCCATTTTGAAGGTCTTTTTGAAAACATCCGATATACCATACTTCAACTTTGTATCTCACATTATGGCCGAGATATCATTGAAAATATGCCAAAGATATCAAAAAAGAAATTACGTGATTCTACTCATATTGGCTTAGACCTTTATTATTAGCTAAAAAGGATAAAATAATTTTTCAATTAATGTTTTCGGATAGTGCGTGATGATTTGTCTCCAAAAGTGTGCATTAGGTACGGTTGTGATAAATTTTGTGGGTAGAAATAAATCTAATCTAACTTATATAAAATATGAAATAGAAAGAGAAAAAAAAATTCAATACAAAAAAGTTTCTACTAAGATTTCTAGTTAACTTTATTTAAAAAATAATGGTTTGTTATAGGTTGTATTGTGTTACGTATCTTTGGCAATAAAAGTCTATATAAACCATTTTGATGTGTATAGTCCTGGGGGGTGACGGTTGTGACACTCGCCCTTTTCTTGAATGATTTTGATTTTATGACTAATCCATTCTATTTAAGAGCAATATTTCAGTATTTCCACGTAGACAAATGTTTAAATTATCATATAATTTTTCTCACTGCTAACTGGTAAATTAATAAAATTATTTGCTAATTAATAAAAAAGAAGTGGCACAACCGTACCCAGTCTCCCCTACTAAATGTTAAGAGCCTCTTAACATATAGCACATACATAATTTATGTAATATCTACAAAAAAATCTAATCTATCAATAACACAATTAATTCCAATCTCTACATTTTTTTATAACTGAATGCTCAATTAACTTTTCATTTGCATTCATTACCGGAACGTGTTTCCATTTTTCAAAGTCATTTTTGCTAGATTGCATAGCAATTATCGCCGATGACAATATCGAATGCAGAACAGTTAATAGAAAACATTGTTATTTACAATTGGATCGTGAAAAAAAACACTAAAAATCGTGTGATAATAAAAGTTCCAATAACCGTTCAGGAAATTTTTATTAACTTTGTATGGATCGATTTCATCAAATGGTTCAATTAACTTTAACTTTCACAAGCAAATTATAGTAAAAGTATATATATCATACAGAAATTTTGTTCAATGATGTGGCTAATAGAAATTGTAAAAGTATAGATAATTATTATAAAATTATGTATTTATCATATTTAAATAAACGATTTTTTAAAAGGGTATATTGAAAACATGGTAGCATGTATTACTAAATTGTGAATTGAATTTATTATAAAAAACAAAACAAAAAATAATAAATAGAATCAAATAGAATCGTAAAATTCCCATACTATTATTTATTAGAAAAAATTATTGACAATTGATATCTATGTAATAACGATAATCTGAAGAAAATTATTTAAAAAGTGGATCATTCGTTCTTAGCAGAAACTAACTAAATAAAGTACAAAGAATAAAATAATTATTTTTTATAACTTCAGTTTACACTTGTTTTATATTCAATTTAATTATTTTAATTTTTCTATAATATTTAAAAAAAAATTGTTACCAAATAAATTTTAAGATTTTTTTTTTAAAAAATAGTTCATCAATGTCTGCACTATAGTAATATTACATATTGAGTATTATCAATAGCTGAGATTAAAATTTTTGATATTTCTATTTTATTATTTTTATCAATTTCACAAATGGCATCAGTAGTTTATATAATTATATTTATGATTATTTTAAAGACTTCAATTTCACTAAAAAAAAAATTAAAACTGCTGTTAGCCTTTATATAATTTCACAATTTGAACGAATTGTTAGTATCCTTTTAATATTAACTATGAATAAGCTTGACAAGAGCCTGAAATAATATCTATTATTATTGATTACGGCTTGCTTATGAATAAATAAATAAATAAATAAATAAATATATTTAGACCTGTTATGAAATGAAATTGAATCTTTTCTTCATATTAAAGATTTTTATGATTTATAAATAAACAGACGCATCGAAAAAAAAATTCTCTATCTGGTTTGAAATGATTGCAATCGGAAATTGACACGAATATAAGTGCTTTAAAGTTTTATTTCTTTACAACTTTAGTATCTAATCAACAATCAATCAACAATCTTTTTATTCGTGATATTTTTAACTTCCCGTAGGGTAAGTTATAGTAATCGCAAAAAAATCGAAAATGAAAATTTTTATATATCTTTACGTTTCAGAGGTTTCTGAACATTTTGGCATACCTTAGAAAAAATGGATGTATGTGTGTGTGTGTGTGTGTATGTATGTATGTATGTATGTGCGTGTGTGTATGTATGTGCGGATACAAATTTTCGTCGACGATTTCGGGAACACGGATCAACCGATTTGAATAATTCAAAAAGCATTCGATTCGTATGGATAAGGAGACGTGCTGATTAGTTTTTGGCAAAGGCAGGTCCAGCCGTTCCAAAGATACGGGGCAAAAAGTGCCGAAAACGGTAACTCAGTTTTTAAGAGAACGGAGCGTCCGATTTTAATAATTCAAAAAACATTTTACTTGTATTGACAAGATGAAGAATTGATCAAATTTTCATGAAGGCAGGTCTAGCGGTTTCGGAGATCTAATGATAAAAGTAAAAAAAAATGCCATTTGGCGGTCAAAAATGATCATTAGACATATGCACATCAAATTATCAGATATTTTATAAAGATTTTAACAATAAGTATAATTTTTTTTTACATTTTTATGGGTTCCGTACCAATGCTTATCCGTTAGACGGCGGCGCGGCAGTTGCGCGCTTTGACATTTTGTCTCTATGCAGATTAAGCAGTACGATTGCTTTGAAAAACAGTTCAGAATTTCCAAAGTATGTCAAAATCAAAAAAACATTTTTTTTTTCAAAAAAATTTTGTTTTCAAAAAAAAAATTTTTTTTCAAAAAAAGTAATTTTTTGTCAAATTTATAGTTTCTCTCTAATTTTTTCGAAGTAAAATTTTTTCAAAAATGTTATTCGTTTTTAAAAAAATAATTGTTGGTACGGGAAGTTCCAGCAATTTGCCTTAAGGCACGATGCCTTAATTGCCTTAAGACAGAATTCCACTTACAGCTAGTTTATAAATATATCGAATGACAATTAAAACAAATATATTTTATAAACCTTTGGGACATCATTTTGATCCCCATTTTATATTAGGCATCAATGGTGGCATTGTAGATGATCTACAGTGAGATACTTCTACTTCCTTAAACGAGATCTATTATTTGGACGACTCAATCTCTATAAACAATTGGTTTGTAAATGCTTTCACAATTACATAAATCGCATCATAAACAATTTTGCATAATTCTTATGAATATTTCCAATGCTAAATTTCTCGTCGTATTATATCAAATGAGAGTGAAAACGGTTTGTTTACATCAAACAAATCGCAGCTGATCCATATCATAAACTGTCAATTGAAAAACGAAGTCGTAATTAACGATAATTGATATGGTTCACATATCAAGTGCATTAACTTTTCATTATAATTTGCTTAGAATTAATATTTTGTGAAATCACGCAAATATTTAGATTTCTTTATTATAAAGTACCCTGTAATGAATCTTCTGCGCGTCTCTCTTGAGATTTTTATACTAATATTTACATTTTTTATCACCAAAATTAAGCAAAACATACAAATTTTCCACTGTAAAATGATTTTTCTGATTAGATCGTATCATATGATCTTTTATAGAGTTGAAAATAATAAACTCACCATAATCACTTTTTTCTGAAGTAAAATTTTATAATAACATTTATGAGCAAAATTGAAAAGGCGATATGATCAAAATTTTGACTTAAAATTGGATATGCTCAAACAACACAAGGCATTTTACTGATTTTACTGACTTATTAATTTTGTCACAATTTAGATAAAAATTTTAGTTATGATATAAAATCAATAAGAATTTCATTATACTGATGTACAAAATTTTGACTGCAATATTATTAGCTATGTTCAAAGAGTATAAAGAACACAATATAGATTAGATGTGAATTGAAATCATTACTAAATCAAATCTTATCTTCAGTATTTTTCTCTTGACTGTATATTTCATTTTATTTATTAATCAAAAAGAATATTAAAAATATAAATTTATATTGTATATGAATACTGTCAATTTCTTAACTTTCGTAATTTTGGATCGAATGAGACCAAATTTGGAAAAAGTATGTGTGTGTATGTGAGCAGATTTTTGACCTCTCGCTGACGTTTTGTAAAAAAACGGCTGGACCGATTTCGAAAATTCATTCGATGTAACTCGATAAGGATTAGCGTTGGTCAGTTTTGCGCGACGATCAGCAAAGCCGTTTATTTGTAATAAGCACAAATGTGTAAAAATCTTAAATCGATTTTAAAAATTCAAAAACTGTTAAAAACATTGGTTGGGAATCGCGTTGATTAGTTTTTGGCAAAGATCAGCCAGGGGGCCGTTTTCCTTCTAAATTAAATATTGAGTTTTTTTTAACGATTTTGACGAAACTTTGTGTGAAGATAGATAGAAATAACATACTAAAATCTTATAGGCCTACGATAAGAATTATGAAAATTCATCAAAGAACTTCTTAGCGCGCTTAAGCGATTCTAATCAGAATCTTTCCTATCGTGCAAATGTACGCCTTGTGTTTTATAGGTAGCTACTGATTACAGTTTAATAAAGATACATACATAAATGTACTTAAATAAATATATTTTTAATATATAATTACATATATTATAAGTATGTTTGAAAGAGATCAATTGATTATTTCTTACTGAAAACGAAAATTTTATTTTCCACATTTCTTGTTGACTAAGTTGGTTATGTATACGTATCAGGAAGTTGGTGCAACTTGCTTTAAGGCAAAATGCTAATTTCAGCTAGATTTATTCATCAATTTAAAAAAAAAACTAGTTGTGTATGGCATCGTGCCTTAAGGCAAATTGCTGGAACTTCCCGTACCGTAACGAAATATTCGAGGAGTAATAAATGTTACCAAATAGATTATAAATACTGTAACATTGCCTAATATTCATAACAATTATATAAACTGAATTGCAAAGTTAAAATTATTTATTTAAAGTATATAAGTTAGCTTAGGGCAAGAATTAAAATTAAAATCTGAATTATTTTCAATATACAAAAAAAAAATAGAAATAATTTTAGGTTTTCAAAAACAATTATTTTGCCAAAACAAGAAGAATTTTTTTTGAATCATTCAAATCGGTTGCTTAACTGTATCAAAAACTGCAATTTTTTGCACAATTAGCTCGGTATCTCTAAAACGACTGGACCTGCCTTTGCCAAAAACGAATCAGCAAATCTCCCCATCAATAGGAATCGAATGTTTTTTGAACCATACAAATCGGTTGGAACGTGCGCCGGAAACACAAAATAAACACACACACATCCATTTTTTCAGGTATGCAAAAATGTTCAGAAGATATTCAAAAATTTTCATTTTCGATTTTCGGCCCATTACTATAACTACCCTACAGGAAGATAATTAGTGATATATTTTTTTTCTAAAAATGTAATTTCATTAAATTCAGACATAAGCCTATATTGTGACATTGCTCTTGCTCTATAACTGCTTTCCAAAAAATAACAACCACTCTAAATTTGTAGGTTATAACCATGTAGATTAATAGTAATAACGTAAATTTGAACTATATAAGTTCATAGGTGAACTTTTTTATACCACTTGAACTTGCACTGAACTCATCAATAAATCAATTGCATACTCACCATCTCCTGCAGGCAGATAAGTAGATCTCGTAAACCACATATCGTTGCACCAATATTTAAAACCAATCACTGCAATATAAATTAAAAAGTCCATAAACAACAATCCTTTTACAAATATCCTTTTATTCAACTGTGCTCTTGTTTTTGAAACTGTTCCGCAATATTCGATTCGTTCGCGCGTCCGTATCCTGTCATGAGTCGTTTGAATCTGAAATGCGAATCGGTTTCACTGCCAGTTGCTTTCAAGAACAACACTCCGTCGGAGTCGCTCGTGAAGTTGATCACACACTGACGATGAGTGGCTTAGACGATGCTTTCACCGTTCTTTCGAACGGTCCGAATCAACGGATGAGTAATTTACAGCCGCGGAGGAAATCTGAGGAGATGATGAAGCATATCTTGCACATACGCACACACGCATGTATATGGATCTATTAGGGTTTAAACAAAAACCGACTTTTTGGGAAACCGGTTTTCGAATAGGATTTTACCCAAAACCGGTTTGGAGTTTTCAGTAAAAATATTTGCTTGAATAATTCGAACAAAAAATTGAACAGAGTGGTTAAAAACAGTTTTTAACTGTAATTATATGCTATTTAATATTATTGATAATTTCATTTGTTATGAGATTTAGTAGTTAAAACAATTAATTATCCGTTGTTAACTTTCTGAAGGGTAATTTATAGTAATCGCAAAAAAATCGGAAATTAAAATTTTTGCTTTACGTTTTAATACCTACTGAATATTTTAGCATATCTTCCAAAAATTGATGTATGTTCGTGTATTTGTGCGCGTGCGTATGTGTGTCATTTCAAGAGCACTTCGAGAGCACAAATTAACCGATTTGAATAATTCAAATAACATTCGATTCCTATTGACAAGGAGACGTGTTAATTAGTTCTTGACAAAGGCAGTGCAAAAATGACAAATCAGTTTTTAAAAGAACAGAGCGACCGATTTGAATGATTCGAAAAACATTTCACTTGTATTGACGAAATTAAGAATCGATTAAATTATTTTTTTTTAATTTAAAATTATCAAGAAAATTTAAAGCTTTAGAAAATGTTAAATTACGGTACGGAAAGTTCCAGCAAAATGCCTCAAGGCACGATGCAAATTGCCTCAAGGCACCACTAATTTATGCCTAAATTTTACATTGTAAGTGTGTAAATATTTCTATAAGAGTGATACGAAGGGCGGACGGCTATCGATTTCCAACAGTATTTTCATCAAACTGGTACATTTATCTACATTTGTCATTTTAATTTATTTTATTGTTGTTTATACATTGAAAACCGGTATTTTCAACTAATAACCGGTTTTCAAGTTTCATTTTTTTTCTGGGAAACCGGTTTTTGAAAACCTTCAAAGCTTCGTATCTATGTATCCAAAGTATTACCAATAACGGTTGTATCTTTATGAACCATTCCATCTTAATTATTATCTTTTAGTTAATAATTTTATAAGTACATTTGTTACATTTTGATCTTATTATTTTAATAAATATGCTCTACTTGGTAACTAATAACTGAAGAAAAAATGATCAGACTAAATTCTCTATAGTTGTTCAGTAGTAGGTACGACTAAGGCTACACGTTGTACGACTAATATTTTACCTTTTCTGAACTGGAAAGTCACCTTTTTTTTCAAACGATTTTTTAATAAATTTTTCTTATTTGATTGAAATTTTGGTGACAGTATGTTTACTTTATAAAAATGTTTAAAAATTAAATTAAAAAAATACTCACTAAAAATTAATATATGTAGATAACTAAAAATTGCAATTGATCGCACTATTAATCACACGTTTAAAAAATAAATATCAAAAATATAAATTACGTATAGTGAATACATATAAAAAATATTTTAAATTTGATGTGCATATGCTAATTACTCCATTTTAGTCTTATTGTCGTACTATTTCTTCATAATTGCAAAATGGATTTGCATATCCAAACTCTGGTATAGTAACCACATTGCCAATATAATAACATAATTCAACATAACACATTCAACATTGGCACCTGCAAGAAATCATAATTTGCCAATTGGGCAACCTACGCGATAGCAGGGTGTCAGCCAGAATGCTCAAACTCTTCAAGGCACTCATATTTAGTAAACAATACATTATATTGTGAGTTCATTACATCGTCTGGTGTCATTTTGAACCCTAATTTACCAATAATCATTCCATGCAAAATTTGACATTCTTAAGCAATTTTTTTTCCAAATGTGTTCAGAACCGTCTAAAGTGGAGATCCGTCTGTTTAGTCCTTCTTGTAGAATATAAAACAGATATTGTCATAACATGTCGACTTTTATAATTGATCAGTTTTTTAATTCAGTTTCTTTTCAATAAATAAATTCCTACAGCACTCACAGTAAAATCGATTGTATTAAATTAAATCATGGATTGATCTGTTCTAAAAATAATTTATGAAAAAATTTAAGAAGTAATTTAGGAAGAAAATTTTCTAACAAACTGGTATAATTATATGACATTTACACCTTATTAAAATATTTAAAACGATTATTATTTAATGCAAGTTTATATATTTTTTCATAAAGGAGCATGTACTGGCCCTGAAACAGTTTTATCGACTCGAAATTTTTCATATCTTGGCCTTACGATACCAGACTTGATATATGTTGATAACATATTAATTATTTAATCAAATCTTATAAGCATTTATTATTATCATTGACATCGAAATTGATAATATACAAAGTATATTAACGTAATCGTATTTGATGTTGAGCTCAACACAATACAGATGAATTAAACATTTTATTATTATTAATTTGAGTATAAATTTTTAATTATTATAAAATTTTACCCAAGATCTAATATGTGATTTAAATCTTCTCCTTTGCGCAGTTTCATGATTATGATATTACGTTTTCATTCGACACCTCAAAAGATGCTATACCTATTCTATTCAATTTAGTTTCAATCAAAACCTGTTTCCGTATTATGGAAGCAGTGGTCGCTTTTTTATAATAGGAAATTTTAAATTTGTGAGCATCATTATTCAATCTAGATTATAAACAAGAATTAACAAGGAATTTTTAGATATATGATATTATTTTTAGTAGCCAAATTGACGTTAAATCATTAATTTTTTATAATAGATAAAACAGAAGATACAAAATAGGAAGTGTTTTGTTTCGACACGTGTGTTGTTTTCAAAGACCGATTAAAAAGAACTAGATAAATTCGATGTTTTTTTGCTATGAAAGTGTACAAATAAAAAATATAATTTTCCGTAATTATGTCTTCCACAAGTTAAGAACGTTGATTCGAAAATTCTGGCTTAGACTCGATCGATACCCACTTAATATCAGTCAGTAGTGATATCAGATTTTTACTTAGGGGGAAGTCCCCTAGTGGCAGACACCTAAAGTTATTTATAAATAAAACAAAAAATATTTTACGAAATGTTTATTAAATTATGATTTATGTTAGATAACAAAGTTCGAAATCAAACTAAATTAACAAAACCGCAATCTTTGCTAAAAATAATGAATACTATCAATCAAACTTTGGTATAAAAAATATGATTTTAAACAGTGGCACCTAGTACCGGACATTTCAAAATAATCTGCATTGATCACATATGTAGCCATATCCACACTCTGGAATGTCTGCACATGTGTGTTTGACGCATATTCTTAGATATTGCAATAAAAAATCACTATTCATCCACCCTTTTGGGTGGGCCACACCGATGCTCTCAGCTGGAGCATTCATCATAAGATTTTCTTTCTTTGACTAAGAAATACAAAAAATGGGGGTGTGTAATGACCCGTAGCACTCATACAGAAAAAAATTAAATAATTAAAATAAATTACGTCAACTCTCACAAGAAATATCAATATGCTTACTGTGCGGCGCTAAGGGACGACTTAGTGTCTGGTGCTAAGGGACAGGCATGTTCGTTCATTTGGTACCACCAAACTACTAAAATTGTTTAAAATATCTAATAATATTCTACCATTTTACGGATAACAATCAAGTACTACTTTTATCATTGAATGTCACTCAAATATAAATGCATAAATACACTAGAATTACTTCCATTGATATTTAGGTGACGCCGTGATTTTGCGCCTAAAACAGCAAAGGGTTGCTCCCGCCGTGGCCGTGTGCGCCACAGGTTTCACTTGTATTTTGATATAAAACGATTTATACTCGCTTAAATAATACGTGTTATATAGAGTGTCTAGTATTAGGTGCTGTCCGGCGTTACGGGACTTCCCCCTACTTATATATTTCAAATATGATAAATAAAAAAATATACACGTAAAAATACCCTTGGGCAGTGTTGGTGAGCTAAAAACTTATATGCACATTTTTTCGTTTCAAATTTTCTAGTTGAAATATATTTAAAAAAATATTAATATTGGCAATTCAAACATTTTTGAAAATCCGGGACAATCCGGGACAAAGCACCTAAAACCGGGTCAAATATTGCTTTTAGAAAAAGCCGAAACGCAAGGCGGAAAAGTGGGACTGTCCCGGCCAATCCGGGACGTATGGTCACCTTACTAAAATTCATTTTAAAATCGACTTTATTTTATATTGTACTAATTGAATATTCAAATGTTAATGGTGAAGATAAATATTTTCAATTTTCTGAAAGACCTCATCCAATGCCTTGTGAGATTTGTATCGCTGTGGCTTTGTGGCAAAAATCTACGCCTTCTCAAACGAAAATTCACATACAAATTACCGTAATTTTAATTTATCTTCTATAGATTTATCAATAGCAGAAAAAAACTCATCAACAAATTAGCATTCTAATAATATCTGAATCAAAACAATTACAGATCAATATTTGGTATCGGAAAGTAAATATTGCGACGTATTGTCTCTCGTCAGGAAGCACAGCGCGTGTCTCACAAACAGTTATTGCAAATATAATAATTCGTTATCTAAAATTCTTGTAGAGTTCTGTGAACAATGTATAAATGTATTTGGAGTATTAACAAATGATATTGCTAACGTCATGATAAATATTATTAATACGCCAATGACCATCTGACGTTGATATTGAAGGTCGCCTGGATCACATCGTTGTCAATCACAAATGAGAATGAAATTTTTCGTCAAAGGGAAAAAACGTTTTCTTTAGGATAGTATTCATAATGGAAGTGCGACGTTGTGCGCAGTTGATTTGTATTTAATTACATTTAGATCATTTAATGAGATGGATGAATAACATTGCGTTATCGATGCTTCAACAACGACTAGTATCGACTTTATGTATAGACAACCGATGTTATGAAAACCGTTATTTAATTGATACAAAATTATTAACAAATATATATATATATATATATATATATATATATATAACTTATAATATATATAATATATATATAACTTAAAAGGCCACCTTATGCTTCTTTATAAAAAAAATTACATTAACTTGAAATATTCATATATTGCTGTACTATACTTTTTATCACTGTTCGATCTATATCGAAATTGACAATTTTCACAATTTTTCACACTGCGTGTGTTTGTGTGCGTATCTATGCATGGATACAATTATTAGTCCACGTTTTTGGGAGCACGGATCAACTGATTTGGAATATTCAAAAAGCAATCGATGTCTAATGATAAGGAGACGTGCTGATTCGTTTTTGGTAAAAGCCGGTCCAGCCGTTTCGAAGATATGAAGCAAAGAGTGCAGAAAATGGAAATGTTTTTGAGAAAACACGGCATCCGATTTGAATGGTTCAGAAAGCATTCAATCTGAAATGATGGGGAGAAGTGATGTTTCGGAGTTACGGAGCAAAATATGCAAAAAAATGGCAGTTTTTGAGTGAATAAAAAACCCGATTTGAATTATTCAAAACACCTTTTGCTTGTATTAACGAAAAGATCGTTTATTTGGGAAAAACAAAAAAGAATATAATAAAAGCAATACCTGGCTGCTCTTGCCACCTTCATGCACAAAACACAGTATGTTTTAGCCACATATTTAACGTAGTCCTAAAAATGCAGCCAAAGTTTTGATAACTCTATTGATACCTTGTAAAAGAAAATGCAATTGTCGCTTCAAAGGTGCATCGCCCGTCATTAACAAATTTATGCCCAGAAATCCGGAACGTAGCAGCATACTATCATTTATCTGAACTCTTAGTGGATCTGAACTTGGATCATTTTCACAAACTCACAAACCAGATATACTACACGGCATACCATCTGATGAACCTTCTTCTTTGCTCCGGCAACAGTATTCAAATGCCAACCGACTACACCCTCTTGCGCTTTTCCTGGTTTCTTCAATTCTTCCAGTTCACCTAAAATTTTGGTCATAATAATTATGTTATTGGCATCGATGTCAAGATAATGTCATGCTCCTTTGGCATTAAAATAAGTGAAAAAGTGGAACTTGAAGATTTTGCTGTCGGCACTATTGAAATACATAGAAATTTGAAGCGCCTGGAAGAGTTTGAGCAAGCCTTGCTAATGCGTAGGTTGTACAATTAAAAAAATGATGATTTTCGTGAGGTGCCAATATTGCCGAATATGTTACTGACCAATGTGAGTACTGTACCAGAATTTGGAGATGTAACTGCTCCGAAAGTTTTTTGGACAACTCATGTTGCGTCATGGGAAGACGATACTATATTGCAGAAAATCCATTTCACAATTATGAAAAAAGGACCAGATTAAGAATAAAATTGAATAATTCATAGGAAAATTTAATATACAATAGAGTAATAAGGTAAAATATTAGTCGTACCACCTCTAGTCTTAGACGTACCTACTACTGAACTACTAGATAATTCAGTCAAATGGCTTTACTTTAGTTATTATTTACCAAGTAGGAAACGTGAAAACACAAATGAGATAGCTCAAATGGCCAACACTATTTATTGTCTCGAAGCTGTAATAATTAAAAAATATAAATGAAATGATGTAACCAATCGGAAATGCGACATGTTATTTGATTGGAATGTTGAAAAGAAATACAGATCAATAAAATATTAGCATAATTAATTTATTATTAATTTGTGAGAAACAATATCTTCATAAAAGAATTGCCTTATCATACTTTATTATAAGCAAACATGAATTTATATTATAAATAATATACACTAAGAATCACATTTTTGCACATATTCATTACAACAAATTGTGTATTTATTCATTGTGATAAATCGTTATAACAATATTTATAAATTAATAATACGTGGTTGTGTCATATTATGCATGCTGCTCCGAGTTGTTAAGGAATGTAGACTCGGAACTTACCACTATTTGAATATAATTTAACTATAACTTATTTAACACAAAAATTTAATTAATGTAAATATATTAATTGTACTAAGTTTAAAATAATGCGTGAATATAAAAAAGTTTTAGTTTTATGTTTTTATAAACCAATGTTTAAATTTTTATTAACATTTTGTCAAGCTTCAGATCAAATTTATATATATATATATATATATATATATATATATATATATATATTTGAATGTGTTCAATTTATATATGTACATGTCTTGCGTACCAATTCTTATTCAACATTTTATTAAAAAATCATAAGATAGGTCTTTTACTTAATATTGATGTAGAGTATAGTGTAATAATAAACTATAATTTTAAAAAAATCATATACAATATATATGTATATGTGTATATTTATGTATACATAAATTATGTGTTTGTATGTATGTATATTAGTTAACATTATTATATATATATGTGTATACATAAACAGTTAGTATTTATTCGAGTATATGTTAACTTCGAAAATAATTGCCAATAATGATAGCAATGATGTATGAAATTATGCACGATATTTTATTTATGTAAGAGGTTCTCAATTATCCAAAAAATCCAGTTTTATTTGAATCATTGATAGTCCCGTAATCTAAATATTTTGTCATAGCTTTCGTTAAGTAGTAATTAATTAGATATTTAGTAGTAGTATCTACATTACTAATATTATAATACATGAGGCCCCTTTTATAATATTCGATAGTACAGTATTAAAAGTCTTCATGAAAATGTAACAAATATAAAGATCATCATGCATTGATTAATGTTATTTGTTCCGAGAAAAAATAAATCCTACTTAATGCTATCAAAAGCCGTATGGATAAATCTTCTATTTTAGATTTTGATTCCACTATACAAAAATATAACCCTGAGAATGATTATTTCTAATTTTATAGTATACCATTATTTTTTATTATTAAACCGAATATTATATTTACAATGAATAAAAATAATATTCAACATATATATATATATATATATATATATTTATAAATTATTTTAAAGTAATCATTGTTTTAATTATAAATTATGAATATAAATGGACAAATAAAACTAACAATAAGTGTAATGAGCTATCTAAAATATAGGTTAATAAGATTTGGCTCAATTTTATTATCACACATGAATATAAATCGTATTAAGTACTTTCAAAGCCAATATATTAGTGAAATTCATCACATGGCTAGAATTATTAAAAGTACAACGGAATAATATAAATTATTTGTTCATCATTTATAAGGTACAAAGTAGAAGAGATTAAAACTCAAATACATTGTAGAAAAATAATTTGAATTTGGCGATGTTGATAAATGATATAGTCGTGTAGAAGTACCTAGCTAAGGCTTATAGGCTAAGATTAAGTTCGAACAAGTCTGAATATAATATTTTAGTAAGTACTATTTGGTAAATGAAATAATTAGTTAAAGCTAGAAGTGCATCGATCCACAATTGTTGATCAGGTATTAGTGATCATTAATACTTTGATTTTATGAAAGTTCATAGATGAATCAGTAGAAGCTTCATATAAATATTGTTCTAAATTAGATTTAACTTATTCAATAACATAACAGATGTGTTAGGTTTAAAAATTTGTTATGATAGATTACCAGCGCAGATGCATTGTCACCCAATATGAATTATCTTCATATGTAGATAAAACATAATAAAATTACATTTTCAGAAAATACATATGGCAAATAAGTAAAATATTTTCTATATATTCACAAATACAATAATTTTTCAGTTTATGTGTGCGTATATAGATTTTTTATAGTTATTAAGTCATATTATAATTCATGCTAGGTAACGTGACCCCTTAAAAATGCACATATGCTCGTTTACTATCAAAAATGTAGAAAATATGAATTTTGTTTAAGCAAATTATTGATGATCACATAAAACTTTTACATATTACCTTCACCACCAGATATAATAGATTTCCCAAGATTAATCTTGATGCCCATATATTCTTTCTTATGGTTTATACCTACTACTACAACAATTGTGAAGCTAATTACGTCCTTTAAGATAACCTTGCTCAAGTTTCAGATTAACCCGCTAATAAAGTGATCAAATCACTTTAGTATCGAATGAATAGAGATCATTATTGATTTGTCATACGGCATCGATTATTTTCTTCTCATCCTTGCTTGCTTCCTCTTCAGTTGCCGGATTCAATATAGTTTCACATTCCTTTGTGGAAGGCACTTTGCAATTAGGATAGTTCCAAGGTTGAATGTCAGCAGTTCCAAATATTTGGAAAAATATATATGTACAAATCGCTATCACAGAAGTAACGTAGAACACATGACGCCAGGTCTCCAGATTTTGCTATAAGGGAAGAAAGACATTTTTAATTCGGAGAATAATTAATTTTAAGCGAATTTTAATTTTAATTTAAAGAAAAAAATTATTTAGCCATTATCATGCTATTCCTTGAAGTTAAATAAAAAAAGTAGTTAAATAAATAAAAAATTTCATTTTCGATTTTTTTGCGTTGCTATAACTTGGCCTACGGGAAGTTAAAAATATTAGCGATTTATCATGCTCTATTCCTTGGAGTTAAATAAAAAATTAAGTCATAAATTAAAATAAAATACTTACGCTTTCCCTAGTTAAATATCCATTAACAATCGGCGATAGGAAACTCGCTGTCATGTGTATAGTTTGAGCAAAAGCTAAAACAGGGCCTGAAAAAATATAATTATTTATAATTTATATATTCATATACAAATATTTCAATCCTTAATATTATTATGATTAAATCTCGCTTTGTGCAAAGAAAATTCTGAAGCCATTATACGGTGGATTGTGGTAAAAAAAAGATCTAGCCAAATATTAAAAACCTAGGTATAAGGTATTGTCTTAAGGCGAGTTGCAAAAAGTTCCCGATATGTGTGAATAACTGGCTTAAAAAATTTAGATTTAGCAACATTCAAATTTGTAACGATATTAAACTTAGAAGAATTTTTATGATTACAACACGGTTTGCATGTCTTTCATATTTTGTGATGTTCATTAAATCCACAAACTTTATCATCACAAAAAGTTGCATCAAAATCGTAAAAATTAATTCAACAAGTTATTACAAAGAAACGATCCGGCCCATCTTAACAGCACGATTCCCAACTGACATCTTTCTAACAGTTTTGAATTTTCCAAATCGGTTTAGGATTTTTGGATTTTGCACATTTCTGCCAATTCTGAAGAAATGGCTCGACGGATCGTCGCAAAAAACTGATCAAAGCAAGTTTTAACGAGTTACATCAAATGGCTTCTGAAATTTTAGAATCGGTGCAGCTGTTTTTAAAATCCACGAAAGGTCAAATTTTGGCTTACATAGACACACAAAGTTTTTGCAGACCTGGCCTCGATCGATTCAGAATGAGTTGAAACGTCGAGAATACATAATTTAGAGTACATAATTTAGAGCCAGCCAAATATTGAACATAATCAATGGGGATATAATAAATATGAATTTAAAAATGAAAGTAATTTTTTACTAAACACTAAATTACCTGCAAGATTAGGCGCAATGTCAACTATACTGGCCATGGCACCGGCGTATGAAGCGGTGATGAGGGTCACAGCAATAAACCAAATTATAAGAACTAAAACTATATCACATCCTAGAAATCCGATAAGTAGAACTAACACGCCTGGTGCAACTTGAGCTGAATTAAAAAAATAAATTAGTAAAAAATAAATAAATAAAATATAAATTCTTCTGTATGAAGTATTATAATCTCTGTTAAAAAAGTAAAAACCCTGTGTCGTAGAATGTGAAAGCGATTGAATACAATTATAAATTTTTGAAAAAATTGATTTCCCATTTTTTTTTATTTTGTTTTTTTTCATATTTTTGAATTTTAAAAACATGTGATTTTTTTTTTTTTTGAAAAACTTGAAAATTTCAATAAGTGTACTTGAAGTGTTCGATAATTTAGAATGTTTTGAAAATTTTGTTTTTTTATATTTTTGAAAATTTTGAAAATATTTGGAAAATTTTATTTCTTCTTCAAAAAACTTGAAAAAATCGACTGTTCGATAATTTAAAATGTTTTTGAAAATTTTGAATTTTTTTGCAAAGCGATCGCGCTGCGTAGCTGTTTTAATGACCAAACAATCATGAGGCATACTTTATCATTCATATTTGTCTCGTTAAGATTTTCATGTTTTTATTTTTATTGTTAGTAAAATACTACGATATTTCTTTTCAACATTTAAATACATACAATTACATGACAACTTACAAATCAATTATACTTAGGGTTTAGTTGAGCCAAAACAAAACGAAACAAATTAATAATATTCGTTGAGTCAAAACGGTTTAAAGTGACATTTATATTAGCCAAAAAATAAAATAAATTCATAATTAATAAAAAAATGTATATTTAAATACTCACCTAAAGCAGTAAATAATTTTCTGACATTTGTTAATGTCATAAGTCTTTTAGTTACTAATAAGTCAGCAATGTAACAGAAAAACACCGACGCCACATAACTGCAAAGGAAAGGTGCTCCACTTAACAGCCCATTCTAAAAAAAAAATTTATAAATATGGTAGACATATTTTTCATTATTCGACGCAGAGAATTTTGTTTAATTTGAATAAAATGAATATTGCCCATTACCTCCCCTACATTTTTCATATAAATAACAATTTTGTTATTTTTTTATTACATGAAATCAATAACAGGTATTTTAAACAGCTACTTCATACATAAATAAAAATATATTTCTATTTTTGTTTAAAATGGAAATATATTTCTATTTATGTTTAAAATATAAACATATACCTATTTTTGTTTAAAATATCTGATTATAGATATCATATACGACCCATTATGGAAAATCATGGCATTCGGGCAATTTAGTTAATATAGATACTAATTCCCTCATTAATAATTAACGTATCATTTACATCTATTGACCCTAATCGATCCTATTTATATTTTAAACTGTAACGAATATATACAACAATCCCACATGTCGTGTACATATTAATCAATATACACTAAATATTCATGTGGCCAATAAGAGGTCAAATACATTGAGATATGAGAACTCAATGCACTACAATAAACATAAAAATGTATTTATTCCAGATATAAATAATAACTCTAATAATCATAATCTATGCGCACGCAAAATCCTCGTTAATATCAACCGAACCGATATCATAGAAAAACGATTAGTCTTTGTAAATGTGTATTCACTTGTAAACATGACACTTGACTAAAAAACACAAATCAAAAATATATTTTTGACTATATATTAATGAAATTTCTTGAATTTAAATAAAATAATCTAGCGTGTTACCGGTACATTTATGCGTTTTCATAATTTCGTATGCTTACCCCGATTGAACCTTATAATTATTTATAATTTTAATATGGCTAATTGCTTGAATTAATTTTTAATTCAAGTTTCAGTTGATTATATACCAAAACATAAAATATAAATATAATTTATTATAAATATTATATTAATTATTTCATATTGTTATTTATAAATTCGCAGAAAAACGTACAGTTTCTTCCGCCATTCATATGTGATCTCATACAGATAGCTTATAGTATATAATAATTTTATGAAATTCGGGATTTTATTTTGGCTAGTAAAACAGATTAGATGTTCCAATAAATAATTTCCGATCGTTCCATTACGCTTAATATTTTATGTTCAATTAGCACATTGACTTTCGATTTTTGTTTTTAAATAGAGACTTTTAGATATTAAAAGTATGTTAAATTTTAACGTTTATTACTATAAAATTATTTTATATTGTCCAAACTTAAAAAAAAATCGTGAGTAAAATGCACTAGCAAAAATCATGTAGTTTTTAGGTTTTTATTTTTTTACTCGAAATTTGTCAATGATAAAATTATCAAGTATTTTACAATTCTGATTAAATGCGCCAACTTTTGATAAAACTTGCCAACACACTTCAAAACATTTTTTTTAAAAGGAAGGCTTCACAAAGTCGGAACATTTAAAAAAAAAATTATACTTCTACAAAAAGTCTTAATTCTTGAAAGCTTGGGGCAATTGTGGTATTTTTTAACTGTGGTCCTAAAAGAAATAAGATCTGTATTTTTTATTATAGGATCAACTGAACTTTATATCATGCAATGTTACTTTAGGAATTAAATTATATTAATTAATTAAAATTGAACTATTTCAATTATAATTTGCTTTTTCTTAATTATTATTACAAATATTATATAAATTTCAATATTATTAGTATAACTGGATAACATGAATTTATAAAAGTTTTATTCGTATTTAATAATTTTATAAAGACAAATTAAATATTCAACTAGTGGGGTGCATGGCAACGTGCCTTAAGGCAAATTGCTGGAACTTCCCTTACCGTAAAAAAAATCTTGGTACGGAACCCAAAAAAATTTACACAAAATGTGTACACATTATAAATATCTCTGTAAAATATCTGATAATTTGATGTACATATGTCAAATAAACATTTTTGATCGCCAAAAGACATTTTTTAACTTATTTTTATTGAGAGTCCATAACTGCTGGACCTGCCTTCCCAAAAATTTAATCAGTTCTTCATATTGTCATTACAAGTAAAATGATTTTTTGAATGATTAAAATCGGACGCTCCGTTATCTTAAAAACTGAGTTACCGTTTTTGGCACTTTTTGCCCCGTATCTTCGGAACGGACTAGACCTGCCTTCACCAAAAACTAATCAGCACAGTTTTTTGAGTTATTCAAATCGGTTGATCTGTGTTCCCGAAATCGTCGACGAAAATTTGCATCCGCACACACACACACGCACATACATAAATTTTTTCTAAAATGTTCAGAAACTTTTGGAACGTAAAGATATATAAAAAAATTCATTTTCTATTTTTTTTGAGATTACTATAACTTACCCTACGGGACGTTAAAAAAGGTTATTCGCATATATGAACACTGCCCAAGCAAGCAGCAAGAAACCTCGATTATGCGAGATTAAATGGCTTTTTTTTTGTAGATTTTTTTTTAAAATATGTGTCTATAATCTAAATTTTTCTTACCGTCTGTATGCTGAATCCTAATACTGTCTTCATGTACATCGGCCCCGACACCATGAATGTATAATGCACCCAAATTCGGCCGAAGGTCGTTAGTCCGATGGACCACGCGGGCCATGATTTGAATATCGACATCCACGGAACGGGCATTCCCTAATGAATAAATCGATTAAGTCAGCTAAATGTAAATAAATATCTGGAATATTAATTCATTATATTATACAGCAGAACCCCGATAAGACGATCAGATTTGATACGGCAAAATAATCAGGCAAAATCTGTGCACTTTGAAACAATTTGTCCCTCCTATCGTAACATTTTTTCGCGACACGTTTTTGGCCGGTACCTAGAAAATCGTCTGAGCGGAGTTTCACTGTTTTTACTTAATTTTATTAATTTAATTAACTTACACAAATTAGTCATATATTTTTGTTTTTCACGAAATTCACGAAAAAATATTTTAAATATTTAGATTTGATAATTTACTTGTGAACATATTAACAATATATTTGCACTATTCACTTTTATAATAACTAAAGATTTTAGAAATTAATAAACATTGCACCCATTTTCATAAAATATAATTTTTTTGACCTTATAAAATCGATAACTTTTTTGCTTTATTATACAGTTATAATCAGTTCCCTTTCCACTGCGATGCCGCCGCTCCGGCAGCAAAATATATATAAATCTACGAGATGTTCGCGAGTGGAAAGAGTTGAAAAGTGAGATTATACATTTTACAAAATTCAAGACACTTGATTAATTTTGAAAAAAAAGTTAAATGATACTAATGTTTTTTATTTCAAATTTACCTTGACAATAATAAAATCACAAAAATTATTACCGATGAACCTTTTTACATTCAAGTAATTTGATTTATGTTCAATTTTCTGTTATATTCTGTTGTAATTAAATATGTTTATGAAGTATCAGATTACCTTTTACAACGTTCATATTTGTTAAAGCCAATTCATATATTCTGATATGCCGCAAATTATCAAATTACTTTATTCGTTAATAAATTCATTTATTTTAGAAAATTTATGGATTTTTAGGGAAGCTAGGGGCTTTATGTATCAGGGGTAAGTAGTAAAAGGCATTTTTTTTCAATTAAAAAATTAAACTATTGTAATTTTTTTGTCTCGATTGAACATGTAAACTGCATATATTGCCATAGCTTCTGTCCCACATTTTTGAGAAGTAATATAAAATAGTACTATCATAAAATTTCGGATCACGGACTAATTTTAAATTTTATATATCTTATTTTGCTTCAAATTTAGCAATCTTTGATATGTATAACAATTTTTAATTACTAAATTGTTTAAATAGTTATCTTGATTAATGTAAAAAAATCACACCGAGGGTTAGTTAAAATAAAACCTTGAAGCCAGTTGTAACATTCAAGAATTATATACAGATTCAAGTAAAAAAGATTGGGTGGAATGTATAGCTTGCAAGATATATAGTGTCCACATGTAAATTTTGTTGCAGGAGACGTTAAATATTTTATTTGTATTATAAAAATATTTGTAGTTTACGTTGATTTATGAAAAAAATTATATTACAGGAGACATTATATATTTTATTTGTATTAATTATAGTTAACGTTAATTAATGAAAATAATTTCTTACAAACAAATCAGTTTTCTTAAAAATATGTAAAGAATAAATTATTAGGTATTATTGTCAATTATTAGGTATTATATGTAATATGTGAAGAATAAATTGTTAGGTATTATTGTCGTTACTAATTGCCCCGGTAGATCCTACAACTACCCCAAAAACGTGGTAATTTGTAACACCGCGCTTTTTCTAGAAAATGTTTGGTTATGAATAATGAGCAATAGTTTTGGAACTATTTTCACTTGATTTGGTAGAGAAATAGTTAGAGCATCTATTTGGCTTTTTTTCGTAGAAGTATAATCAGTGAATCTTAAGATATATTAATTAAAAAAAACTGTTGCAAAAGGCATCTAGCGCTTTCAATACAAAATAAATAATCAGTGGATCTCAAGATACATTAGTTGATAAAACTGTTATAGCAAGCCCCTAGATCTCCTATATAGGAAATTATATTACAGCTTCTAATACAAAATAAATAATCAGTAGATCTCAAGATATGTGAATTGAAAAAAAAAATTGTTACAAAAAGCTCCTAGCACCCCTACTATAAATAGAACAAACCAGACAAAAATTCGACCGACGACCTAAATTAAAATAAAATGTTCCTTAAAAATAATACAGCCCCAAACATGGGGTAAGTTATAACACCGCACTTTTTCTAGAAAATGATTGATTGTGAAATACAAACATCATTTAAGGTATTATTTTTACTTGATTTAGTAGAGGAATAGTTAAAGCATCTATCTAGCTTTCTTTGTAAAAATATAGGGACTGATGCTGCCGCATAATAGAAAAATGTTATGGCAAGGCCATGCTACGCTCTAACTTTTATATATTATGCTACTGAATCATACTGAATACTGTCAAAATGCCATATATTCGCTGTGGATTCAGGCGTTTTACACAACTGCAACTTCACTCGTATGTTATGGAGCTGAGTCAGAAAGACCCTGCTATCTAAGATCGTTTGTGCGGTTTCTAGGTTAGGTTTTCTATCTGACAACCTGAGAAATACCACTGAATGCACACCAACCATAGGGCTTTTGTCAATATTTTGCATAGAAAGTTCTTCATAACATGGCCTTGCAATAACATTTTCTGTTATGTCCCTTAATCAGTGGATCTCAAGATATCTTAATTTAAAAAAAACGACTGTTACAACAAGTCACTAGCTCCCCTGTATAGGGTGTGATATTACAGCTTTTAATACAAAATAAATAATCAGTGGATCTCAAGATATAAAAAAACATATTAAAAAAAATTAACATGCAAAGACACTTATAATTTTGTGAAACACTGAGCTAAATTCAAATAAAATGTTAAGGAGCACAGCTAGTGTGAAATTTTCAAAAAATCGAATTTTCAATTTTTCCATATTTCGGATAGTTTATACCTTTAAAAATAACATACCAAAATTTTAAATCGATATCTTAAATAGTTTTTGAGTTACAGCCATTTAAAAAGTATATATGTAATATATAGTATAACGATCATTTAATTTTTAAACGCGTTTTTCTCGAAACAGCATTTTCCGAATTTGCTGCAGTGATTACTAAAAAACAAATGATCCGATCACTATCAAATTTTTTTTACATGTTCTATATATAGTTCTCCGTAAAATGAACTATCGATTTTTTGATCGGATCAAAAATCGAATTTTGGCAGTCCAAAAACGAACAAAATTTTGGGTAAAATTCGACTTTTTTTTAAAAAAACGCCGTCATTTTGTCAATTTTTGATTTTTTTTTATCGTAGTTCATTTTACAGACAATATTATCTAGTTTAACAAGATTTTTTTTTTTAAATTTCATCCACATAGAAGGCCGGAATCACTGCAGCAGTTAAAGGCCTTTTTTTGTCGCGCCGTTGGAGATCGACGATAACTTAAAAAATATTTAAAATAAATTTAAAAATGTTACTATATATTCTTAAAACATGTATAAATATATTCCTAAAATTTTGAAATGATTGATACAGTAGTTTTTTTTAATATAAATTCCCAAAAATCACCCTTTTTTAGACGGTTATACTAGTTGTGCCCCTTAATTTGAATAATACAATAATATAAAACCGCACTCGTGAAGCGAAACATAACACCTTGAACCATGCACAGTGTTTGTTCGTCAAGTGAGGTTTTATTAATGAACATTACAAAAATTCGAATAAATATTCGAGTAAAATCAATATTACCTTCTCGCCCGCCACCACCGAGTATCCGAGATTGCTTTTGATGTAGGAGAGTTCGCTGGGCGAGATCCGCGGGTGTTTGGACGGATTGTCGAACGCTAAGAAATACCACAGAACGCACCACAGCATGCCGATCGTTCCCGAAGTGTAAAACACTCCGCGCCAGCCCCAATGGGATATTATGAAACCGCAAATAGCGTAGGTTAATCCGATGCCGAAGCTAAAACCTATACAACAGTCAACAGGCCAATCAATCACCATCTTTTTAGCAAACAACGTAGACATAATAACTAAGAACTTTGTCAGATTTTGGAATTAATGTGCATGTACGATTTGTATGCTGGGGGCCGTCCATTAATCACTTGATCGATTTTTAAGGATTTTTGGGAACCGCCCTCACCCTTGATATTTAAAATCTACCCCCTGCCCCAACAATATCACGTGCATTTTTGTAAAAATCGTGAACATTTTGAATTTTTTCTGATAAATTCTGTTTTTTTTTTAAAAAAAAAAAAAAAATCGGATAAGAAATAAATACACGTAATACCTTAATATATTGCCCTCCCCCATATAATATTTCGTAATTTTTTCTTCAAAACCCCTTCATCCTCCTTTAAGCCTCAAGTGCATTTTTGTAAAAATCGTAAACTTTTTGGAATTTTCTTACAAAATTCTGTTTTTTTTTTATTAAAAATCAGGTAAGAAATAAATACACATAATACCTTAATATATTCCCCTCCCCCATATAACACTTTGTAATTTTAATATGCCCCCCCCCTCACCCACGTAATATTTCGTTTTTTTTGTCAAACCCCTCCCTCCCTCTTAAAGCCTCACAAGATTAATGGACACTCCCCTAAAAGAAAAACAACACATAATTTTAGAAAAAACATTTTCAGAAAATCTAGTTAGCCACATAAATGAATATATGTTTATGTTTTATTACTAGTCTTTGTTCAAATATTGGTTTGACCTCAACTTATGTATGACTAATGAGGTTGACCATATTTTTATATTTTTAAATCTGATCCGGGAAAGTCTTAAGTGTTTTTTTTAAATTTTAATTACAATCTGTCACACTTAGGACATTCAGTAATTGTTTTGACTTTTATTATATGGATCTTTGAATGGATGGTAACCCAGTGTTGTCCAATCCAATTATGACTAATTAACTATGCTCGAAGTATTTGCTGACATTTTTTACAATTAGTTAAGGGGGTATTTTGGTCTAGTAGTATGCTATTTTTGAAAGGCCATATAAATAGGCAAACAATATTTTTACAAGTTTTAATTCCAAAAAATGATGAAGTCGGGGGTCTCGAAAAATTGGTGTTTGACTATACCAATGATTTTAGCCCTTCAAATCAATATTTTTCATCATTAAATTTTCAGAAAAATCATAATTATAATTATGTATTTTAGTCACGAAAGTAGTTATTAACAAGCTAGAAAATAAATAGTAAAAATTTTATCGATACTTTGTAAAAACTTTTGCAAATATATAAACTTTAGTTTTGGGGGCGTCCATTTATCACGTGAGCGAGTTTTTAAGGATTTTTGAACCCCCTATCCCCTTGTTGATACATGGCGATATTCAAAATTACCCACCCCTCCCCCACCAAACATTACGTGTAGATACCTTTGTCTCTCAGGACACGATTTTTTTTAAAGTCATGGTTGCAGTAAATAATTTTGAATAAAAAAGCACATTTAATAAAATTCATACATTAAAATTTAATATAAACTAATATTTAAATAATGAAAAATAGAAAATGTTTTAAATAAATTGTTCAAAATATTTCTCAAATCGAAAAATATTTATGCTAATAAATTACAAAATTATAATTATTAAAATGAGCAGGTTAAATGCACTACAGGTTATCAAACGATTTCAAATGATTGATAAAATTTTCCATCGTTCAATTCAGTAAATAATTACCTTTTCAAGACTATTTCCACGTCAATAAATTAAAAGTGAGAGATAAAAAGGGCAAAAAAATCATTTCATAAATACCATTAAACAATTAACTCAGAATTACATCGCGATTTATTTTAAATACGGCATCGGCTTTGTGTACAAAGTGAAAATGCATGTCGGAAGGGGAGCGTCAATAATGATCAATATTACCGTGACGTGCCGCGAAAATTAAATATCATTTAATGGCAATGACTAAATTCATCATAATTTTTAATGAATTTATAATAAAATCGTCGGATGGTGACATACAAATATAAAATATTTACTGAATTATAGATTAAATACCTTGAAATGATGACATGAATTTACTCCTTTCAGAAAGCGGAATCCAGTGGCCTACGGCTGCGTACATCGCTGGCCAAGTCAGACCCTGAAAGGATAATGGAAACATGGTTTTGGGTAAGTAGAAATACATATTTTTTGTTATAAATTATTATTAAAATTATCACATGGACTAACGTTAAAGATGTAATTTTATGAAAGTTGTAAATTTATTGTTACTAAATTATTGAAATATCGAATAGAATTAATGAGAAATTTAAAAAGAAAGAGTAGGAGGCGTTGCTATTCGTCTCAACCCTGCTATTTGAATACTCAATTTCAACGGTGTTTTTGCAAAAATCCAAAACATACACCAATTTTTAATTTTCTACCTCAAAATTTGGCTGAAATATTGCAAACATGCGAAATTGTCACTTATTTATAACCAACCACAAATATATAGAACAATCTGAACATTGTTGTATTCATACTGGTTCATAACATATTATTTATACTAACTAATATCACATAATTATTTGATAGTGCATGAACAAGTTAAACTAATTTTTCATATTTTTTTAAAATTTTTTTTTTGGGATTTTTGTAATAAGCCATTTTGTTCTTTTATTTATTATTGATCCATATAAGGCGGTAGTTTATTTGTTGTAGCCCTACAGCTTAATTTAAATAACAAGCCTATTCATAATACAATGGATCTTCGTTAAACGATTACGCTTAATACGATTTTTCGCGTAATACGCAGCTTTACTATGGTTTCGGTCGATTCCTGTACTCTGAAACATATCGTTCCTATCCCGCTTAATACGTTTCTCGCTTAAGGCGGCTTTTCGTTCTTATTATCGTATTTCTTATTATTTACCAATGCCTTTGCCAATGTAAAGATTTAGTTTGTTCTTTTTATTCAAGCCACATTTTATAGAGATTATATTAAAAAAACTGTTGAATCTAAATAAAAAATAACAATATGTTCAGGTATCATAAACTTAATACAAGAGCTAAAAACTAAAAAATACTCTTGGTATAAATATTGATACATATCCATTTATCTCCTGATATTCTGTTGTAAGAATTAAGGTGATGTTTGGTTACACATCTTTTGCCTTCTACTTTAAAATAGGATCATTGAAAAATAATATACTATGCTTGTTTTTGAAATAATGATGGTGAACCTTTTAATCCGCAGACCTTTATGCCCTGCTCTACCCTAATGTGTATATATATATATATATATATATATATATATATATATATATATATATATATATATATATATTTGAGGGCTTTTATAGATGTTAAACTATTTATATAATACAAAAGAGGTATATTCTATTAAATCGCCTAAAACTTTTACTACCAATTTACGGAGTTATTAACTTCCCGTAGGGTAAGTTATAGTAATCGCAAAAAAATTTAATATAAATTTTTTTGCATATCTTTACGTTTTAAGGTCTTCTGAATATTTTGACATACCTTAGAAAAAATGGATGTGTGTATGTGTATGCGGATACAAATTTTCGTCGACAATTTCGGGAACAGGGATCAACCGATGTGAATAGTTAAAAAAACATTCGATTCCTATTGATAAGGAGACGTGCTGATTAGTTTTTGGCAAAGGCAGGTCTAGCAGTTTTGGAGATACGGGGCAAAAAATGCCAAAAATGTTAACTCAGTTTTTGAAAGAACGGAAGGTTCGATTTGAATAATTCAATAAATGTTTTATTTGTATTGACGTAATGAAGAACTGATTAAAATGTTGAGAAGGCAGGTCTAGCGTATTAGGAGATTCATTAAAAAGTGAAAAAAATGCCATTTGACGGTCCAAAATGATCGAACATATGCATATCAAATTATCATATATTTTATAGATATTAAGTACAAATTTTGTGTACATTTCTATAGGTTCCTTACCAATGCTTATCTGTTAAACTGCGACGCGGCGCCCACGCGCTTCTATATTTCGTTTCTGCAGTTCAAAATTTCCAAAATATTTCAAAGTATAAAAAAATCAAATTTTTCAAAAAGGTAATTTTTTTCAAAACTTCAAAAATCTCAAAACTCGTTTTTTTTCAGAGTTCTAAAAGAATATTGAATCATTTTTTAAAATTTTAATTTTTGGTACGGTAAGTCCCAGCAATTTGCCTTAAGGCACGATGCCATGCACCCCTAGTTTATTATACGCCTAGTAAGATATCCTGCATCTCAATTCGCTTAAATCTATTCGAAATACCTATATACCCATGAGTTCTCACAAAATCATTATTATATGAAATAATTATCAAACCACCCAAAAAACCTGGTAGCCAAGACGTGTTTTTATATGGTACGGCTTCGTTCCATTTATACCCTTCCTTTATACTGTAGCAAGTGATCGTGGATAATCATGAACCAACAAAGGCCATATTTGCTTTTGTCTCCATTCAGTTGTGGTAGATTACAAATTACATTGAAATGGAACGATCAATGGCATTGGACTTGTGGGTCACTTGTGGTGAATAATACAATATTATCTACATAGAACATGACAGCTTTCTGAACCACCTGAATGATCTTATCTGTGTATCTAGAATGTATTATATGCAATACTATATGCAAATTTTGAATTTAAATATATTTGTTTACAAGTGCAAATAGCCTTTCCTCTGCATTGTTGTATCAAATTAAAAATATAATAGAGCGACTAATAATAAAAATATATCAAATTCAGATAAGTTAATAATTCTTGGGTTGTCTCAGGAGCTGCATAGTTAGGAAGTATCATAACAACTGCTCATAAGTTCTGAACGCTGTTACTTAAAAAATCTGAAGTCTATATAATTATTATAGGATGCACTTGTATTTGTTTGTTTGCTCGCTTTACACCGAACTGTTTTGGACGACAAACGAATCTTGACAAACTTCATTTTTCAAAAAGTTTTTCAAAACCGGTTGAAAATATCATTTAGATCTAAAATATTGATAACGTATTTTTTAAATATAGTAGCTTCAATACTTTATCTTTTATAAAAATTCTAAAATCATATGTATGCCTCTTCACGTTAGTTTAGTTAACTCTTTTTGAAATGCAACGGAAGTGCGTTACGGCAGATAAGATAAGAGTCAAGTGCCAATGATTCGTAATTCGCTCTCGATGATATCATTTCTATACGGGTCAATTGTGATTAGTCGTCGCGTATGTGAATAGAGATCTGTCGTTGTATGCATGATGAGTGTTACCATATTATTAATAAACATTATTCAAAATTGTTATATGATGTATTTATTTTTACTTAAATGCCATCTTGTACAGTAGCAAATAAGTTTTACTTCAATCGCATGTGAACCTTACGCGCACTCTTTTTTTTATTAAAAATAAAACAATATTGGGATTAATATTTAAGAGAGTGGCACAAATTTTGTATTTCTTTCTAATAAAAGTAAATGATGCAGTTCAGATGATGACCTTTTTATTGACTACTGATTTTAATTTAGATAATGTCATGTTTTTACGTAATTAGGAAAAAAATTAGATCAAGCGGACCAACAAAAAATATTTATTATATTTCAAACTATGTCAACAATTTTTTTGTAAACCATTATAACAAATTTTCAAATATCTGGTCATATAAACATAATTCTATTATCATAGTGATCCATTTTGAAACCCTTAGGTAATAATCTATATTATTACTATTATTGATAACAAATTTTCAAATATCTGGTCATATAAGCATAATTCTATTATCATAGTGATCCATTTTGAAACCCTTAGATAATAAATCTGTATTATTACTATTATTTATATTTGTTGTCTGTTAAATGAAACAATGCAATGCTGCGATCAAAATATTTTCATAGCATTTTTCTAAGGTCATAAGAAACCTACCGTATGGATATGAGCATCAAAAATTTTCCGACGAAAATCGCAAAAATAGGCATGACCAGGGGTCATGGTATGATTTTAGTTTTTTTGATTTTTCGGCAATCGTTGAGAATGTTAAAATGCTACTTTTTTCACGTTATTTTAGCCCGCATTAATGATCTTTTTTTTTTAAAAATGATTAGCTCTGTGAAATGTTCTGAATTTTGGTTGGTACAAATAATAAAAAAATACCAAAACAACAGTAAATCAAATAGGTTTGCAAAAATTGGTTTATAAATACTCTATTCTATTCTCAGAGTGATCATGTTGGAAATTCAAAAGGTGCAACTTCATAAATATAGTAAAAAACACGCCAAGAATTTCCTTTTAATTCCATATATTACTTACCGAAGCAAATCCTTGTACAGAGCGTAAGCCAATGAGAATATTCGGATGCATTGAGGCACCAATTGGTATCAAAAGACTGGATAAAGCTGTGAAAAATTGAGACCAACCAAAAACATTTTTGGTTCCAAAACGTTGTGTAGCTACACCACCTACAATTTGTGATATGATATACCACCAGTAGAATGAACCGATTACTGCTGATTGTGTTGCCGTTGACCAGTCGAATTCTCCTTCTTCAAAATTCTGAAAGTAAAGGCAAATTTTTAGAGAATGGAGTCGCTATGTTCTATAATACATTTTAAATTTTTATTGAATGCAACATAGCCGAGTAAGAGATATTGTTACTTGGTAACATTGGTATCTATATTTTACAAGCAGAAATCGATGTCGCTGTCCAAAGCGGTTATCGAATCTGGAACTTTTGGATAGGTCATAGCTCTCACCATTAAACCAACGAAAAGTTCAACTAACAAAATCAATCAACTAACTAAATCAATATCTTTCCATACCGTTACTACTGAAGTGCTATTATTATTGTCTTGAGTGTGGTTGGTGACTCGATAGCAATATAGTTCAGGCATTGGTTCACTGGAGTTGGTGGTATTTTCCAAACTTGGTGGAGGAATCTTGACCATCGCCACAAGTGCAATATTGATGTCTGTTCTCATCATGAAAGAAACCAGAAAGCCAGACCATGATAGGAAATAGAGCACCAGGCGGGCTGGTATCTGCGCTGTAAAAAGAAAAGTAAATAGAAAATATTTATTATTATTAAGTCAAAAGAACAACTCACAATACTTCTAATAACAAATAATCACAATTAATTTCATAAGTACGTAACAAACTGACAAAATATTATTTTCAGTTTTCATTCAACTATCCATTGGATTTCCTTAAAACCTATACTGATTTTTTTCATATATATTTTGAAAATATTACTAATAAATCAAATTAATTAATTACAAATCAAATTCCTGCACGATGAGAACCATACTTAGTGAAATTGTTGATGTAAATTATTATAACATTCCGTGTTTTGGTTTGTTACTGCTAATTAATTCAATCTGGCATGTTAATTTATATAATATTAATTCGAAAATTAATTAATTTACTATTGCCGTGTTAAAATACGTTAAAGCATAGACTATCCAAATCATGTTTTTATACAAAACCTGCGTTTTGATAATTAATAATTGTTCTGATAGGGTTTTGAGAATTGACATTCAAATTACACATACGAAATTAGAAGGTATTTCTAGATATCAAATTATCATCAAAAGCCCTAAGAACGTTTGTTACTCATAAAAATATATTTATTGTGAGTTCAGTTTGTATTACATTTATGTATGTTTAGTATGAATTTCTCATTCAAATTACAGCTGAGTTTTAAATTATTTTGCTATCAATCAAGACTCGTTAGAAAGTATTACTGGTTGAGCTCATCAGATCAATTGATATTTACAAAGTCTAGTCCAACAATTGAAATATTGTTTTGGCGACATGAATTAACATGTAAAACACACACACATGTGTGGGTGAGTTCTAACCCTGCTCTGGACAACCTGGCATCGTGCAGCACCGATATCCATTTTCACTTGAGAATATGGATAAAAACTAGTGGGGCGCATCGTGCCTCAAGGCAAATTGCTGGGACTTCCCGTACCAAAAATTATCTTTTTTTTTTAAAAAAGATTAACATTTTTGAAAAAAAATTACTCTGAAAAATTAGATTCCTGAGAAACTATAAATTTTTGACAAAAAATTTCTTTTTTTTGAAAAAAAGACTTTGAAGAAAAGTGTATTTTGAAATATTTTGGAAATTCTGAACTTTTTTTCAAAGCAATCGTACTACTTTAACTGCATAGAGACGAAATATCAAAGCGCCGCGTCGCCGTCTAATGGATAAACATTGGTACGGAATATACTTATTGTTAAAATCTCTATAACATATCTGATAATTTGATGTGCATATGTCTAATGATCATTTTTGACCGCCAAATGGCGTTTTTTTACTTTTTTCACTAGATCTCCGAAACCGCTAGATCTCCCTTCCAAAAACTAAATAATTTCTTTATTATGTCAGTATAAGTAGCATGTTTTCTGAATTATTGAAATAGGATGCTCCGTTCTTTTGGAGCACTTTTTGCCCCGTATTTTCTAAACGGCTCGACCTGCCTTGTCCAAAAACTAATCACCGCGTCTCCCTATTAATAGGAATCGAATGATTTTTAAATCTGTATTCCCGAAATCGTCGACGAAAATTTGTATCCGCACACACACACATACATCCATTTTTTCTAAGGTATGCCAAAATGTTCGGAAACCTCTGAAATCTAAAAATGTATAAAAAATTTCATTCTTAATTTTTTTGCGATTGCTTATCCTACGGCTACTTAAAAATGCATAACGACAAATAATTACTTGATATAATATATAAACTGCTAATACCGAAAGAAACACGTAACTTTTTGTAAAATAATTATGTTATAAACGGTTGTGTAATGGATTGCATATTGCAAAGAGTAATATGATTCATTTCTCATATATATATATATATATATATATATATATATATCCATAAATACTATAAATTATATATAGGAATGTAATAAATATCTTCCAATTCGTTCCGTAGACATTCGAACGTTTTCTTCTCGCAATGTCATTGCCTTTCTGTCTATATACGACGTCTTAATGAGTAAATTTCCCTTCTGAATGATTTTTATTAATTGAATCGTAATCCGATGAGGGAAAATTCAAATCAATACAGTCATTGGAACATCTTTATATTATCACTGTCAATATCGAATTTTATTATATGCTTCGTCAGTTAAGATAATTGCTTATTTAATATATTCATGAAATTCCACCCAATCCATCAAGGTATATATCGTTTGCAATATTTTAAGATAAACGTTTGGAAAATCGTCACTTGCTATTCATATGAAACGTTCGCAGATGAATGAACACACTGTATATATATATATATATATATATATATATATTGCATTTCCATGATTGACATTTATTGATGGATGTTTGCTATTTTATCAATATTAATTTAATAATCCAAATTGTATTTGTGAAAACCGGTTTGGAAAAGTGAAAGAAACTTTGTAGATACTGCAGGCGCAATAAATAAAAACAATAGCTCTATACGAACTTTCGAAAAACTTGGAACATAGTGATATTAGTCTACCAACTTTTACATTTTGTATCGTACTTCTGAGTAATTTTCAATTAAACTTATCGCGTTATGTGCAGGCTTTGGTTAGAATTGATTAGTCGGGGTAAACTAAACCAGGAATCCAGATGAAAATTCTGGTAAACTTAGGAAGTTTAATCTTTCACAAATAATTTACATATCTTCAAACATTATATGATATTTGATTGTTAGATTATTCGATATTTTACAATGATCAAGGTTAAAATATATTATTTTTAAAAATATTTATGATTAATATAGTCTCTTTGAACAAGCGCCAAATTTGACTAACATGAGTTGCTGAGACACTGTAGGTGTACGTATTGCGCGCAGACTTTTTTACATGACTTTTATTATTTTTTAAAATTAGCCACTTCTCATAAGCCTATAATATTTTAAACTGTTTGGCTTGACTATCAACTCCATCATCTTACGAAGTTTCATCAAAATCCCAGAAGTAAACCTAAGGTTCTCCTTGTTAGTCCATTATAAAATTATACTATTAGTTCATTTTTGTTCAAGAATTACTGAGTTCGCATAACATTAGACTACTAATTTCTAAAAGTTATTTCAGCATCTCTTTTGTTGTTTTTTTATATATTTGATAGATATATATTAATGAATATCTATTTCTCTTATTTTTTTTTCATTTTAAACTTAATTTTTTAAACTATATATTTACTAGGGGGAATCTATGCGCCATGAGAATAAATATACTAAATTATTTTTAAATTCAAAATGATTAAGAAATCCAAAAATTATTCTCTAAAATGTTAGTTGTATAAATTTTTATTGAAAATTTAATAAAGTTTTAATTTGTATGTATACAAAATTTATATTGGTAGAAAATTACATCAGTGAAATAATATATCATGTTTCAATATTTGTCTTGATGAAGCGTTTCAAATTAATTAACCAAATTTTCAAATTAATTGATTTATCAAGAATTAAATTTGGCTAAAGAAGGGATTTCTACTAAAATTGACATATTATATAAAAAAATCTGTGAAAAATATATATAGCTCAACCAGATTTACATTTAATAACTGTATATAATATTATTATGGGCATACTTCAAATGTTATTCGTTAAAAATTACACATATTAACTTCATAAGGTTACTAAATTATTCCCGTATCATATTATGATATATCTGTATTTAAGCAAGCCCATCTCTTCTAAATAAATTTTTGAAACTCCTGTAAACCCCGTTTTACCCTTTATATGCAGAATTAATCAAATCCGATCTCTCCATGCGTTGTTTATGTAAAAAAAAGAAATCTGTGGAAAAAATATTTTCTCCTCTGACAATGAGTATGATGCCAATGTACAAGATGATCATAGTTACTTTTCCAATTTTTTTTGGAGACTAATTATAAGTAAGTGCGGATTTTTGTAACAAAAATCATACATTTTTTTCATGGAACAAACAACCTACTACAAATTATTCCTTATAACTTTATTCTGAATTGCAATGTCAATTTTAATCAATGACTATTTGTCGTCTTTCAGGAACCTCATTATCCCACTTTCAAAAAAAAAATCCGGTTTTTATTAGCGAGAACTGATCAGGTACGATTTGACCACTTTAAATTCAAAGAGTTTTATAAAGACCGAAACTAAAAGTAATCATATGGTGTAAGGTCAGGGTAACAGTGGATGTAGAAAAACATCCCAACCAAACTCCAATAATTTTTGCCTTATAATGCATTTTTACCTCTGCAGTAATAGTAAGGCAAAATATGAGAAAATTTTTCGATTTGAATTTTCATCTTTCAACAAACGCCAAACGAAAGCTTTTTTACAGGTTGATTGCAAAATAGCTTACTACAATAACAAAAATTATTTTACATTTGGACTTCGTCAGCAAACCGAAAATTTCACTTGAAACCATCTAATCTGAAAGCCGCACTTACTTAGTTTCCAGCCTAATATATATATAAGGTTAATTAATTTTATATTATGCATGGGATTATTTCTAAAAATATATCAAATTATATAACGGTATTCAAATTATAAGGAATTAATTCAATTCATAATTGCTTTTGCCGCGGATGTTAAATTAACATCATGCAAAGCTTTATGACTAAACTAACCACATATATTACCTTTATAACTATGTAACTATAACGTTTGATAGTTACTCGTGAAAATATATTTATCACGAGTTCAGTTTGTATTGTCTTTATGTATATTTAGTATCAATTTCTCATTCAAATTTTAGGTCAGTTTCAATTTATTTTGCTATCAATCAGGACTATCACTACCTCAGTTTAATGTCGTTTGTTATTCACTACCTCAGTTTAATGTTGGATCATCTAATATAGTAAAGTTTATAACAAAGTAATAATCTATGAAATGTAATAGAATTAATAAAAAATAATATATATATAGACATTTGGGTTTATATAGAAATATAAAAAACACTTTTGAAGACTTTAAATTTTATATATTTCTTTAAATTGACGAAAGTAAATATGTTATATTGTTATGCCTGGTTTGAGGGCATATGTAATTTTGGAACACCGCCGCCACCATAATATATTTAATATGATTTATCTTCTGATGATTTTTTTGCTCACTATTATATTTTGGACGTCAAGAAGAAACAGCCAAAGTATCCGAATCTATGTTTGTTATTTAACCAGTTAACTGTGATTGACGAATATTCTCTTAAGGAAAAAATGACAGAATTTTGTGTATTGACGAAAACACTATGGCTATTTAGATAGCAACTTTTGAAACAAAGAAAAAACTAAACTTACGCCCAATTTTTTATATATTTAGAATACTTTGAGGCAATGTCAAAAGAAAATGGATAGTTGTAAGTGATATTTTACTTCAAAAATAACATTTTACCTCAATTATGACGATACAAAACTGTGCGCACAGTTCAATGAGAGCGCCACAGTTACTTGGTTAATAATCCGAGGTTTTCATAATTTATTCTGATGTTGACTTATATTAGTTTGGCACCTAAGTAAGTGCGATTTTCAGCTTAGATGGTTCTAATTAAGTTTTTAGTTTTGCTGACGCAGACCATATGTAAAAAACCTTTTGTTAATGTATAGTAAGCAATTTAGATGTCCATAAGTAAACAAGGGTTTTTGACTTTGATGGAAAATGAAGTCAAAAACTTTTGTCATTTTACTTTTTATTTCTGTAAAGGTAAAACGGTATCTTAAGCTCGCAAAATGTTATGAGTTGTTTATGGTAAAACGGCAAAAACCGGCAGTGTCCAAATTAGTTTGGCAAATTTCGTTCTGGTGATTCTTCACTCAAATATGAAAAACACTCTGGTCGTCCAGTTGAAGTTGATTACAAAGAAATTGACTACTTTTACTCTTGGCATCAAACCGAACGATCAATTCCGATGTCTACATTGAACAACTAACGAGATTAAACGTCAAAGGAAAGCTGCCTAAAATGACAAATCGATGATTTATTACATTATTAACATCACATATCTTTGACCATTGGGTAACAATTATTGGACCTTGGTTGGAATGTTTTGCCATATTCCCCATACAGTCCTGACCTTCTAATTACTTATTATTTCGATATTTAAAAAACTCCTTAAATAGTAAAGAATTCAATAATCATGATGGTATCAAATTCTACCTGATTCAATTTTTTTGATAATAAAAACCAGAAGTTTTATGAAAGTGGTATAATGATGCTGCTTGAAAGATGACAAAAAGTCATTAACTAAAATGGACAATACATTACAGAATAACGATATTTAGTTCCATGAAAAAAATGTCTGATTTTCTAAGAGAAATCAGTACATTTTGTGGTTTATTTAATTTTTATAAATTTTATTGTTTTTAATTGTATACTAGATTGATGGGCCGATTCTGCCGTAAAATAGACCAATGTTATGGCAAGGCTATGTTACATTCTATTTCCCATACTAAATCGTACTGTATACTGTTAAAATGCCATGTATTCGCTGTACGATCAGGCGTTTTACACATCAACTGTATGTTCACTCGTATGTTATTAAACATTATTGGAAAGATACAGTATCTTAAGATCGGTTTTGGAATTATTTTTGACATGTTCAACAAGCATTCGATAAAGTTTGGCGCCCAGGACTTTTATATAAAATAAAAACATACCTTCCATCCAGGTATTGTGGGATTTTAAAATCCTATCTACAAGATAGGATTTTTCAAGTAAAAGTAAATCAAGTAACATCTGATTTCCACAAAATAATGTCAGGAGTTCCACAAGGTAGTATTTTGTATTCTTCTTATATGTTTTATACACAAAGGGCCTCCCATTACTTGAAAAAAGCTGTAATCACAGTGCTGATCAAGCTTCTCGACAAACGCAAGAACATATCAATAAACCACAAATGTGGCTTGCCAAATGGAAGATTTGCATAAATGAAACCAAATCAGCTCATATCACATTTACCCTGAGAGAGGGTACGTGTCCTCCAATTTATTTAAATAACATCTAGATTCCGAAAGAGAACATAGTGAAATATCTTGGTCTCCATTTAGACAACAGACTTACTTGGAAAAGCCACATAAAAACAAAAAAGCAGCAAATAATGATCAAAATGAAAGAATTTGATTGGCTACTGCGTAAAAAGTCGAAGCTCTCTGTTGAAAATAAGTTGCTGCTATATAAATCAATTATTAAGCCAATCTGGACCTACGGAATTGAGCTCTGGGGATGTGCTTACAAATCGAATATAGCTATAATGCAGAGAACTCAGTCAAAAATTTTACGTACAATTCTTGATTCTCCGTGGTACGTGACAAATGAAACCATTCACAGCGACCTCAACATGAAAACGGTGCAATTAACGTCCAAAGCATTCAAGGAAAAATACAAACGCAAACTGGACTCACATTCGAACCCATCAATAGTTGACATTACTCAACCTTTTGGCATAAGGAAATTGAAACGACAATGGCCTTTAGACTTAGTCATAGGTTAGATCTAATATAATATTATCATTATATTGCAAAACTGAGAAGATCTCATTGGAGTTCTTCTTAGGCATCGCTCTTAAATATTGCGATTTTAGCTCATAGGAATCTTTATGTAATTCTGATTGCTAAATAAAACAGAGTTCAAAAAACATTTTTTTTTTACATCTAGGTTAGGTTGTCTATCTGACAACCTGACTACACAGCAACTACATGGCTTTTGTCAGTATTCAGAACGATTTTGTATGAGAAATGGAACGTAACATAGCCTTATATCAGCCCCTGAGTAGCTGAATTAATGGGAGTCCGACTCATTTCATCGTTTTCATATAAATTCAATATAAATACTCTTTCTGATCACTTGCGTACTCAAAATTATGAGTTTGATAATAATGGAATATAGTAAAATAGGCAGATTTTCATACTTCCTTCAAACTTCCATATTTATTGATGGAGAATATTTTCTTTCAGGAGTAAAATTCGTCGAAGTATTAGGGGACATTTTTGATGCCCATGAAGATTGCTTACATTCATTTACAAATTGTTCCATAGTATTTTTTAAAGACAATTCAAAAGAATTGAAAACCTTTTGCAAATGTAGTTGTTGTGGATTTGCTGAAAATCAAATCAAATCAGTTACATAGAGATAAAGTATTTGACGACCACTATTCTTATTTATCCATTGCAAATTGCTACAAGCAAGTATTGTCTTAACAGCAATAAGTTTTTCATAACTATGAAAAAAAAAAGAGTTCTATAATAATTGAATATAGTAAAATAGGTAGATTTTCAATGTCCACTACCGGACAAATTCGTCCAACCCCGCGTATCGTGCTCGTGCAGCATTCATACGAAAGCGATATATGTTTGTCATATGCGGGTCGTTTGTCATGATAGAAGGACCGTTCGGCCGGTCCGAGAGACTCGCTCTATAATACCTGATATTCGTCGCAGGGCCGTGCTCGAATATATATCACACTTTGAGTTATCGGGCAGTATGCGTGCATCCATGGTCGCTCGATCTATGATCTGAAACGAGACAATATTCGCATTAGTTGAATAATCATAATTACACTTGTCAACATCAATTGTTATTATGCGTGCGGCATAAATAGATTACGAGGAACAACTCAACTCGTCGAACGGGTTGGGTTGGTCGCTCGTCCAATTATTGATATTTGTGGATTCTAGCAATGCGCAAGCAGACCGTACGGCTTAGGTTCGTATGAATTATTTTGACTGACTGGCAATACGCTTTTAATCCTTATGTGCCACGCGAATAAAATAAAAATAGCGTTCGTTATTTTTCAGTTTACCAGGTGCAACCAATAGTTTAATAAACTGAATATAGCGTAGGCGTCAGGGATTAGAGTGGATATAGTTGTCCAATCGTGTAATACATGAATGAAAATTGATAAAAGAGATGGGAAAATAAAGTCAAAGATTGCTACTGAAAAACCTGTTCAGCACAAAATTATAACTTCCCTATAATATAATAACATATAGTTAAATATTTTCATAAACACGTTAATCGTCACGTCGGTCATATGTGTCTGACGCTAAGAAGTTTCACGTGAGCTGCGTTAGACAAATTCTTAGTCTTACAAACTGACCAAAATTTCTAGTCTTGCCGAGAAAAAGGTTTAATGTAGGGCCATGGGGGCCGTTCAATCAGCCAAAGTTTAATGTTTAAATGAGATGATGACAAAATATAGAGCACCATGATGAGAACGACGTAGACATTCCAAAATCGGATGAAAGTGAGCAGACTTACAACACTGAGCAGCAAACCAAGCAATCCAATGTCATCGAAAACTTAGTATCATGGATTCGGGTTCCATGGACTGAAGATTGTTAATTTGAATTTAATATGTATACCAAAAATTTAAAATAAATTTGTTATATTCGTAAGATTATAATAATTTTGTTACTCTATGTTGAACGCCATATCAGTAAAATCTCTACATCCTAAATCTATTTTCTTATTTTTAAAATTATAATTATAACCTAATAATTACAATATTTAAAAAAACAATACATTAATTGCAAAATGTTTACGTAAGCATGGGGCTAGGGGGTAAGTGCTTTGCTTACTTTTGCTTTCGGATGGGGGGGGGGGTAAATAATTGTAATAAATCTGATTACGTAATACTTGAACGATCCTATGTCAGTCATATATGTGTGGCATAAAAAATAGTTTTTTCCGGAAATTTTGAGAATTTTTTTTTTAGTTTGATACATTAAGCTTCCTTGATACATATAATTTATCTAATAAAGTTACCATGGCCCATGTGAAATTTTTCTGATATACTCTGATTTTTCTACTTCGAATCAAATCTGAATTCAAAAATACTGTGCACTTTTGAGACAATTTTTTCAGGCTGGGTAAGGTTGTGCCAGGGTACGGTAGTGACACTCGTTATAACAGCTAAACTATACTGATTTTGAGATAGGGTCGAAAGGGAGAATGATGAAATATGATTGTTCGAACAAAGGTCCCATTATTGCTTTCAGTCAGTGCCTCACATTAACAGAGTGGTTTCCAACCTTTCTTGCACTGCGCCCCCCTGCTCTAATATTAAAAAAGTTTTGCGCCCCCCCTTAATTTTTTAAACAATCTAAATTTATAAATACTCAACTGATATTATCAGACTACAAATTAATATGCAATATTATATATGAATATGAATAAAAGCTAATTATGTTTTTTTTATTTTTTAATATTATTTCAGAAATGTTCGGTTATTTTCGAAAATAGTATTCTGGAAACAGATGTACGCGCCCCCCTTAGAACAGCCTGGCACCTCTCTGAGAGGGCGCTCCCCACAGGTTGGAAACCGCTGCATTAACATGATGTAGATCGCAGAAAAGAGTCAAAAGTAAGTTTTCATGTCCAAATTCTTTGTTAATAGCATACAGATAGATTAGCTTTGTTTGTTATTTAGCAGTAAGTTGAGCATTAGTAGTTATTTATCAGCAATTAAGTACTACTTTAGAAGTCTATCTCTACAGAAACAATTATATTATCATTTTTTGGATAATCAGCTATCCCGTCAATTTGATAGGTATAGCACATATGAAATTCAAGATTTAGAAAGTTTATCAAAACTATAGTGTCTATTAATAAAACTATAAATTTAGGACACAAATTAGTACAAGTGCTGTGATTTTTTGAAACTGTTATTTCAAAGTTTAAAGTTCAGTAGCAGATTTATATTATTAACTATGATACCCCATAGATAAATAAGTCTAATAACCCCATGAACTGACTAACGTACTTGCTTATGAGGCCAAAAAAAACAATGTAAAAATAATATCCTAGACCTGGACTGGACATCCAGTCACTGGATTTGAAATCCAATTAAGGGATCAAGTCCGCCGCATAAATGAAAAATGTTATGGCAAGGTCATGTTATAAAGAACTGTCCATACTAAATATTGACAAAAGCCATGTGGTTGCTGTGCAGTCCGACGTATTTATCAAGTTGTCAGATAGAAAAGCTAACATAGAAACCGCACAATTGTCAAAAAAACTATCTTAGATAACAGGGCCTTTCTGACCCTCCATAACATACGAGTGACGTTGCAGTATATGTGTAAAACGCCTGAATGCACAGCAAATACATGAAATTTTGACAGTATTCAGTATGATTCAGTAGCATAATGTATGGGTGTTGGAGCGTAACATGGCCTTGCCATAACATTTTTCTATTTTGCGGCAGAATCAGTTTCTTAGACAAAGTCACTAAGCTCTATCAATAAATTAGCTGATGAAGAAATGTATAATATAGAAACAGGTGCATATATTTAAAAAAACGAATTCTTATTCCTACTGAAACTTCAATGTGTCGAAATCTTTGAATTTTTTGATACAAGTTTATTTTTATTTCCCAAATACTGGTATTACATAAAAATGATCACCAGTTACTTAATTATTTTTGTCCCAATAAATCTCGAATGTCTGGTTCGTAGATACATTCATAAATGTACCTGTTATAAGTTTATAAAGTTGAATTGCCGTAGTAATCTCCGAGATATCTCTTCAGGAGAAATATTGTCTCAGATTTGTCACAAGATTGAGTATAAGTAATGTCCCGAGCCATTTGCAATGGGCGTTCGCCTCGTCGGGATGTGGATGTGACTGTAAGTCCACCCTACACAATGTCTTCAACTTGAAAGCATTATTCATTAGTTTAGTTGTAACTCTCTTCCCGTTATGTGTAAATCAGTTATAAATTATGTATGTTCTGGAAACTCAAGTGGGGAACACGTGGCGGGTTCTTAGTTTCAATTTTCCTCTAAAATATAATTTAGCACGGCTAAATTGCCAAACTTAGGATTCCGCGTGTGTTACTAAACCGCTAGTCATACTGTTACACGGATTTTTTCCGAACACGTTATTTAACATTGAATTTACCCGAGTTTAGGATGAAACAATTTCAGGTTTTAGTAGTACTCTACCGGCTCCACCTTCTGCACATCGTTAATGAATATAATATAAGGAATGACATTCTCTTCGAATACTTTTTCTATAAGAATTTGAAAATGTTTGTTTCAAGTCTTTAGTTATACTCTATACCCATAAAAAAATATTTGGAACGGGATATTCTGGTCTAGATACATGAATTTCATGCAATTTTTGAAAGACCGATAAATTTATTAGATAATAAACATAATAAAGATTAAATGATATTACCATTATTATATGAAGTAAAAAATTGTAATTAAATGAAATTGAGCAAATTTTCAGTACAAACCTAATTAATCCTTTTTTGGTGCCTTTATTATATATGAGCGGTCTACGTATTTTAACTATGACTAGTATTTTTAATTTTGAACACATTAGAAAACCATTTTTTGTAATTATGCTTTTAAATTTTTGCACATACCTCTAACATGTATAAGAAATAGCTTATACTTATATATATATATATATATATATATATATATATATATGAAATTCTATATATATATATCTTGTATATGAAATTCTTTTGTAATGATGTATGAATTGATACTCCCCCTAAACGGTTATTCAGATTTTAATAAATCTTTTTAGAGTTTGTCGAGGAAAATTTTCAATATGTGGGGAACTATAAAACTATAGTAATATTATAGAAATAAATGAAAAAAAAATGCAAAAAACAACAAAACAAAAATTGGGAGTCAAACTAGAAAAAATGGAGATAAATAAATAAAACTGCAAAATCTGGAGATAAATAACAAAATCTTATAATTTCTGTTGTTTTTTGGTCAATTGTCTTTTAATAACTATTGAGTTTTACTTATAAAATCTACTGATTTTTATTTTTGTATTTCAGCAGTAGTTTGCATATATATTTACTCCCCATTGCTCCTAGGTAACACATTCACAATTGAATATCTGAAAATATTTTGGTAAATTACTTCTGAATTATATAAAAAAACTTAATAGATCATTCAAGGTAAAAAGGGTCAGAAAACGACAGAAATTATAAGATTTATTATAATGCACAAGAATGATAAAATCGAAGATTTTCCATTTTTCTCCAATTTTGTAGTTTGACACCCAATTTTGAGGTTAAATTCGAGGTAAAAACAACATTAGAAAATATATATCCAACATAGACAACTTTTTTTGTGAGCCGGTGTAATTTTCAAATTTTATTAGACATATATTTTTTATACTTTGACTATTTCTAAATTGTGATAACTATTGTAAATAATTCACTTTCAGACTAAATTTATACCGAGTTCCATTAATAATTCCAATTTAAAAAACGAAAGAATTAATAATGAAAATTTCGATCGATTAGGTAATAGAAGTTGCATGAATTAACTGGAAATACATTTGAAAACTTGATTAGAATCTCAAATAATTTATTTGAGTTATCCTTGATTAATAATTTATTTCTGAATACTGCGATGATTAAATGTTTTAAAGTTTTGTGAAATAATAATGTAATTATTGATTTAACTCCATAATTGAGAAGTAGACATTCATTTTCTCTTATGAGTCACTTGAGAAAAGAATTATGTTTAATTTTATT